ATAGTATGCTTTGTTAGGGTAATACATGGGCTGTGAAAACACTACACTGTAATGTCTTAAAATGAGAAAAAATACGCGTGCTGTTTTACATGTGTGTTGAAATAGTACTAAAAACGTAGCTATGTTAAATTCACGTGTAAAAAAAACCCCACAAAATTTCAAGAATTTGAACTTTGCATTTTAAAGACAATTACATATTTTAATTTATCTACCACCATCTGCAATTGAGTGTTACCAATTGCATTTTTATTATACATCAAAATTAAACTAGATTATTAAACGCACATTCAAAAAAAAAATTTTTTTTTGAATAGCTAATAACACTTTAGCTTTTTAACACGTAGTTAACGCAAGATTCACTCGTGTGTAAGCATAAAAATTCAAAAGCTCCTTACAACTGTAGCTACGATAAGGATACAATACCTTAGAAACTCTGTACCCCCTGTCAAATGAGCATTGATCTGCCGACTTGAAATAACAATAGTTTCGCGGTGGCTTTATTTCACCAAACAATTGCTGTGATTAGACTGAACCGAGCAACAGATAAACAAAGCCAATAAGTAATTATACTAAACCGAACTAAATGCAAGTGCAGTATATTGTACAAGTTCCTCGTATCTTTCGTCCGAAACCTTCTGGGTGGAAAGGTTTGAAAGGATGAAGGACGAAGGGATGAAACCTTCTCTTAAATCTTTGACAATGGAAGGCCTCCTTTGCATGTAATGCTCTAACGATTGATGAATAAAACACAAAATTAAAGAACGTTTGCATCTAAGTAGTACGAAGTGATAGAAGTTAGTAAGTAAACCCATTAAAAGTAAACGGAAGTGAAGAAGGCACTATTAACGCGAGTTATTTTGACATCAAGAAAGGGAAGTTTACCATATTTTTCTATTTTTCTTTCAAAACGATTGTTTGGGCATTATTGACTGAGGGAATTGTTACTGAAAGTATGAAAAATTTCCAAATTTTCCGGTCTTAATTACTTGTGCTTAAAAAGCGTTAAAATTTTGGGTTATGATTAGGGTAAGACTAAAGTATAAATTGATCACTTGAACTAATTTATTCCGCAATACAAATCAAGTACTTAACCTAAAACGGAGCACTTAAACTAATTTATGTAGCAATGAAATAATGATAAACTAGCTATCACGTACACTACACTCTGCGCAGGGAAAAATGTAATCATTTATGTAAATGTGAAGCGTAACCTGGGTATTTGGTGTATATTCATTTTCGTCGGGGTAGCGGTCTATTTTGTTTACGTAGACAAAAAGGCTGTTCATTGGATTATAAGAAGAACATTCGCTATTTAGCTTTGCATTATTTTTGCAGGAGTTTGGTGTATTACATTATTGTATCTTTATTTTTAATACAGGCAAAAAAGTAATTGTGCAATTACCCATAACCATGCGAGTGTACGCTTTTGAAAAAAAAAGTGAAAAAAAGACCAATTATTTTGAAATGTAGAATAATTATTTAGGTAAATTTTTCTTAATAGATGAACTTTTTTCGTTGTATGTGGGAAAAGGAGTGGGGTAATTTTTTTAAATCGATTGAGATGTTTCGAGTTATGAGCAATTTGACACACCTAAAAATGTTTTACTTTTTCACCCTTTTCTTACGAAACTCTCATGAAGAGGTTCGAAGAGAAGTCATTGTGACCTTTTAACAAAGCTGCCCATATCAGGGAAGTAATAGCTGGATTCGAGTAAATGGCTAAAACTGACTGAGGTTGTGTGAAAAGTTATTTCACATCCATGAAATGTCTCATATGGTCACTTATTTCTAACTTGAAGTGGTTACGCAACGAATTTCTCACTTTGTTTTTTTGAGATTGTTTTATAAATGTCTCTTTCATGATTGGAACTCGAAAAACATAATTAAAATTGGTCTTTTCAAACTGTTTCTACACTCATCTAAAGCTGCGATTTTCGTCAACTTTTCTGGGAATTTTTGATATTGGCGATGACGAAGAAACGAGTATTGCCTTCCAACATGGCGTATAGCATTACTAGCGACGACCTGCCATGCAGTGGAAAATGTTGTGTTTCCAGCAGTTTGAAGTAAATCAAATGCGATAAAATACTCCACAAAGTAAAACAATAGCTATCCATGTGTCTCTTAATGAGAAGGTCGACAGGTCCTCAAAAGCGAATATAACGAGTAAATTTTTGTCCACAAACATAGACAAAATTTTGACGCTATGGCCACGTCGTGTTTATGCTTGTCACATTTTAGGAATTCGTATTATTATATGAATCATGAAGTCATAAAATTTTTAAATCCGAAACAGTGTTTAAAGAAAAATCTTCTGCCAATGATAATAGGAATATGAGCATTACCGAAGAACAGTAAACTGAAATATAACAAAGAGACGTCTTTTGAGCATGAACATTGCCATGTGGTTTCATAATACGCGAGGAACAATAAAATAGAATGTGCAATTAATTAACACGAATGAAAGCGTTGTAAAAATCTGCTAGACAAGATTTATTCATAATCTTGACATTAAGGAGCATGTTTCAAAAAAGGCAGATGTAGCCAACAGACTACGTTCGTGACTAATCATAAGTTAGCAATTAATTTTGATTGCTGTTGCTCCAAGTGCACATGCAATAGATCCTATATTATTTTTCAAACAAGAAGACTTTTTAAATTTAAAGTCTTCAACAAACTATTGCAAACCTTGCGGACGAGCAATTCATATACATATATTTTTATACCTACTCATGATATTGAAGAAATATTTAATTTGTGCTGCAACAAACACTGCAAACAAGTTATACAAACACTGCAAACTAGTTTATTAACATTGCATTGAGGCAATCACTATCTAAGAATTTTTTTAGCTTGTTTGTACACGTCTTATATGGAGTAGTGGCATTGTTATATGGCATTGTTAAATTATTGGTAAATCTCGATAACTCACAGTTGTTCATACGGCAAACTCAGACCAGCTAATGTAAATATTTCCAGGGGTGACGCAAGGAATTTCCTGAAGGAGGGGCCAAGGTCCTCGATGGGAGTGAGAGAAAATCATTTTTTCACACAAAATTTTCAAAAATTATCATCAATCCTCGCTTTAACTAAATCGTTGATAGTTATAGTTTGTTTAGAAATAATAATTTACATCTACATGAAAAATCAACACAATGTATTCCCCTAGTTTTGAGAGCCACAACTAATATGCTACAATGGGGGATGGATTGTTTTTTCATATATTCGGTTGTGCCCAATTGACTTAATTAAAAAAAATTTTTAAAAAAGTCAGTCTGACACAACTAAATATATGAATATCCCCAACAATAACTGTTGTACTAACAGCCCTGCAAGTCGTGCATGGAATCCTGGGATATACATGTAGTTGGCTATAAAAAGCTATATATTAAGTAAAAAGAATGCCCTGGGTTTTCTAGTAATGTTGGATAGTAATAATCAAGGATTAATTATCTCCGTCAAAGCTTTATAAACATATTGAACATCTTCTTTAACCTATACAAAGCTGTATTCAAAGTAAGACGGGGATGCTTTAGTTATTAGATATACTATTATGTTTGTCTTGTTTAACTTAAATCTTATGTTTTAACGCTTTATCCCAATGTTAACCTGTTAAACTTTTTGCTGGTGAGCAGTTCTTTTAGACTGCATGTATATAATGAGTCAGTGATGTACTACGAAATAATTTATAAACATAAGAGGCAATATAAATATTGCACGAGTAAGATATAACGGTGAATCATTCGATTTGATGGTTTCATGTTCAGAGATCAATTCTGCACTTGGGAAACCTAGCGTTGAACTTGTTCACTACGGTAACCAAATCAAGTTGCTCCCTCGATCACAATGAATTCCTAACATCATTAGCTGTCCAGACGCTTGATGATGATTAAATAGCCGTAATACATGTAACACTGTCAGAATCTGATAGTCATTGCTGATTTGAAACTCAAACAGCAGAGTTTTTTCGCTTTTACAGAAAATTTCCTTTCAAAGTTCAAAAGTCGAGTTGCAAAAAGCCAGACATAAAACTAATAGCGGACAAGCGTCGTGCCGATCGCATATCCAATCAAATCTCATGTAGCATCTGCATATCTGTTGTCTAATGAAAATTCAAAAATAAGTATTTCAGAGTAACTTTATTATTTTATAAATTCGATGTCGGATAGCTGGCGTGTATGAAGATTATTGCCGATGGTGAGAGGACTCAAATTACTTTAAACGAACGGCAATAATCAACATTGGAAATTGCATTTTTTCGTTATTCATTCACCGACAAATAGTCAAAATTTTCTGCGACAGAGGGTGCTAGGATTCCTCAACAGAGGGCTCACGCATGTTTGAGCTATTATTATGAGTAAATTTGTCACAGAAGCAAATTTACGACACCAAGGCCAAATAAAGAAACACAGGCGAATTTAGAACTATGTCTGCCTTACGGGTACCCAGAGAAATTAGTGCTACTGGTATCAGACATTGAATATTGCGTGGGATAATTAGCATATATATTTGTTTGTTCAGCAAATTTTAACGATAGCATTGCGGCGCCACGCTATTTTTGATATGTATATTTCTAGTAGCTGTGTTTAGCAACATTGGAATTCTTTAAGCATGCTATTCCTTCAAAGTTACGCCAAAATCATAAAATTGATTTTTAAAATATATGTGCGCTGTTTTGATCTCGTTTTGATTCATTCTATTCAATTATTGAAAAACATAAAAAATATTCTCTTTGTATATATATATATACCCTTCTGCCATCGTCATCATCTTTTAAACAAAAATCCTTTATTAATTTAAATACCGTACTTATATTATGAGCTGTTTACGTATATATATTACGAAAAAAACACATATTTTAGATGCTTTGCTTGCGTATATTATAAAATCTAGTTCCTGTTAATAGAATTCTGATACGCTTGGTTAATGTCAATTATTCACCCACACACTTCAGAAAGGAGATTTAAAAGCACATAAAATAACATAACTATCATAACACAGGAGCAGATCAAAAGTTCATAATTAAGCGTTAGATCTTTACAGTTAAAATTTCCCAAAAACACTTCAATTGGTAAGTCATTATTTTTGAAAATTAATAATTCACTTTTAGAATTAATTTTTAAGGTATACTTCATTCACAAGATGCATATGTATAATTGACGTTTAGTTATCTTTCGTTTATTGAGTGAATTTTAAAAAATACACTTATATTGCATGATTTTTTTGTCTTTTCTTGTGAAGCTGCTTCAGATATTTATTTCAATGTTAAGTTAAAGTACGATATTTTAGCTGTTACAAAGATTCTTAATGATTTATAACAACTCGTAGTCTTCGTAACAAAATGCTTGACTGCTTCTATATTTTCACTCAATAGCATTAGGCTCTGATGTTTTTATTCAATTCTAACAAAATTTGCTTTTGTATTTTTAGTTATAACAGCACAAGAGGATCAGATACCATTTTTCAGGTAAAGTTTACAACTATACTTGAAACGGCTTCTATTTTAATTCATCATTAAAAGATTTATGAATTGAAACATTGTTAATTCTTGAACAAAGAACATCACGTCTAATATTGATCGTACTCGAAATTTTTTATGTGGTTTGTAGAATGCGGCTGGAACCATTCACAAAAGGGATTTTTATTGCTATTTTCTTAAACTTATGTGGTAAGCGGTTCTTTTATATTTTATTTTCAAGACGCTGTAAGAAATTTTATGTGTCCAGATAGCGAGTTTTTCATAGACATGGAAATTTGGCGAGTCTAAAGCCCGGCGCACACGAGAGGTATGTGCTTAGCAAAATCTCATTCGTGTCAAGTGGCGCGAGCAAGTTGCTCTCGTGTGCCCGTACTGTTTCCGACGACTTTTGCCTTTCCAGGCAGAACTGGCAAATATCAAACATGTTTGATATTTTTTGCCACGCGTGGCGAAATGCTTTGTCGATTTGTCCGTGTGCGGCGTCTTGAAGCAAATTGCTTTTGTAATTTCATCACAGCGCATGCTCAATAAATCTCATATCAAACCAAAATGGCGGCTTCCTCAAATGAGTTAAATTCTGTTTCATTTTCTGATTCCGAAGAACAAGACGAAATAGCACTTTTATGCCTGTTGCTAATTCGCCGTAGACGCAGGCGTTTACCAGCTTCTTGTAGTAAAACATGGACGAAGCGGTGGATTATGAGACGAGAAGCGCAAGGCGCATTTATTAACCTCATAGTCCACCGCTTCGTCCATGTTTTACGACAAGAACCAAGAAGTTGATATTAGATTTATTGAGCATGCGCTGTGATGAAACACAAAGCAATTTGCTCAAGACGCCGCACACGGACAAATCGACAAAGCATTTCGCCACGCGGCAAAAATATCAAACATGTAGATATTGCCAGTTCTGCCTAAAAAAGTCGTCAAAACTACGCCACGAGCAACTTGCTCGCGCCACTTGACACGAATGACATTTTGCTAAGCACATAGCTCTCGTGTGCGCCGGGCTTAAGGAGAACAAAAGTTTATGTCACAAACTTTAATACTTTTTCTTTACTTTAGTAAATTCAAATAATAAACTAAAGTTACTTTAAATAATTATTTCTGTAGAGGTAATTTCCTTATTCAATCAAGTAAAATATTTTGGTAATGCAAATAATTGTCTTTGTGAGACACGACATAAACAGACCTTTCATTTTTCCGTTGCAACTATAAAAACGAATTGAATCAGGAACAACTTATGTATTGATGTCATCATTGCATTGAAAAAATAAAAAAAGTTGGCATTTATAATAACTACAATCAATATCTAAAATAAATATTGCTTTATAAAAAAATAATACAATGTTATAAAATTAAATGTTTGTAGTGCATCTTTCTACTGTTTATCCATGTCCTACATATTTTCAATTTTGATATCAATCGTGAATTAATTGCAAGTGAATCTGCAAAATTGGCATAAGGAATTAGATCTGAAACAGCAAAAGTTTTTCAGTCTGTTTTTTTTAGTAAGGTCAAAAGGCGCAAAGCCTTTTTTAGAAATTAGCTTGCAAGCGAGTCTCGTTGCTTCTTTAAGTTTAATTTTTTTTAATTTTATTCACACTCCACATATTGGCTATTAAAAATTGCGAAATGAATATATTTTTGAGTAACGCAATTTATTTTATGCAAAAGCTTACCAAGATGGAATGTAACGGTCCAAGTTGTTTTCGACGTTGCATAGAGCTATAAATAATACGCCTAATATAATTTTCGCTGGAACAGATCTCCATATATATATATACATTTGTTTTTTTTCTTTCTGGAAGTAAAGCCACCAGATAAAAAAATTTTTTCTTTTCAGGATCAAAACGACGTTTTAAAAGTAAACGAATGTCAATTATCTAAATTAAAAATTAAGTAGCAGTTCGTTCTCTAGTCTGAAAAGCTTTATGAATAAATGTCTAGTGCATGTCTAAAAGTGCGTTTACACATGAGATGCAACAACGCTCTCGTATTTTGATACTTTCGTTTCCCAAACTGACAGAAAACATTATTAAAATTATCTTTAAATAATCATAATATGCTTGTTTCATTAGCCATAACACCTTACTTAACATCGGGAAAAAACTCTTTAACTTGCCACAGATTTTCATACGATTTTTGAGTCGCAAATTTCTGAAGCTATTACATGCGATTTTCCAAATATAGCAAGAACGACTTATATGGCGTCAGTGTCCGCGCGACAAATTGTTGTGTGTAAACGTATCTTAACTCTTATTAGATATTTACTTTTGATTCAGCTTTTTCAGCACCCATTATTCTCTGATCAGTATCAGGTTGTTAGTTATAATCTTATGGTTAATGAGTTCATTTCCTTGTTGTGTTTGTCTGTGAATGAATTTGTCTTAATGACAAAAAACTTTGCAGTCATCTACTTGCATTGTATATTGAACTGGTCCAGTCTGTGTCTGACACCTGGCTCCTCTTCTGTAGTTTACAATTTGCTTTTGGAGTACTGGATTACGGGGTCGTAACGCAGATACACTGCATGTTAAGCTTGAAATTCTTTCTGTTTTCTCTGGGGTTTTTTCTACACTCTTTCATTCGTATCTGGATGTAACAAGTCTAAACGAGACTGTGGTTTTCTGCTTATTAATATTTCTGCTGTCGAAATTCATCGGTGGCAAAAGTGAAGCGTTGTTTCTCAATCTCCGCTCTCGACAACGCCTTGTTTGTTGGAAGCAGCTTAAGAAACTTTGAATAAACATCTACAATAAATAGGAAAATTTTCCCCGAACATGGACCAACTTATGCAATGTGAATACTTGTGTAAGGTCTGCTGGGCCATATCCACAAGAGGAGTTTTTTTGTTTATGTAACAGTTGTTATATATACATACTTTACTTTTCGATACTTTATCCATTTGTGGCCACCACACATACATAGATTATTGCTAAACGTTTTCTGTTGCACATTCTATTGTGAGTTTTATGCCATTCTCCTATTTCCGGACTTCTCTTTTGACGTGGAATCATTATTTTATCTTCCCAATAAGGTACAATAACCTTGTACGCTTCCTGTCTTCCTTTAAAGTATAGTTGCTAAAGTATAGATGATAGCATTATCATCTATACACAGATAAGGCCTCCCATGCTTGACAAATTTAAGACTTTTGCAAGAATAATTTCCTTTTTAAAACAAAGAAAAAGCAAAACAAAGAAAGTCTTTGCTAAAGTATTTACCTATAGGATTCTGGAGTGGAGTCAGATATCGTAAAATTCCGTTCGCTGCTAGATTTCCACTAGCTCCTTTGCCATCATTTGCAATCATGACTTTAAAAATTTTTTAACGAGATGCAAATAGAAATATTTAATTTCCTAATTTAGTCCTCCTAATTCATTATGTTGATGCTTACGACTCTCTTTTCTTATTTTTTTATTTTTTTATATGTTTGTAGCTAAGTAGACAATAAATTTTCATTAAAGCATTTATAAACATTGTGTACTTCACAGCAGTGCAATTAAGTTATTCATAATATAAACTTGCACTGCTAGCTTTAAAAATTTTTGTATTTTAGGTGTTACTGTCATTTCATCAACGATTTATCCAACTCCGACGATTTCCTACGGTGAGGACTGCTCACATATTTTGGAATTCTCATTAGTTATAGCTACTTTCTTTACATCTCCAAAACACACAGGACTTACGATATTGAAGTAATTTAAATGCAAATGAATAAATATATAAAATGGGCAAATTAACGACTGACAATTTTTCAAATTTTTTTTCTGAATTTATAGGGTACTCGTCAACAATTGCAGTGAATTCTTCTACACCTTCGAGCTTTTATCGTGAGTTATTACTCTTTTATTTTTATTCTGAATTTTTTAATGATTTTATACAAACAATTTATTAGGTAATGAACTTTGGATCTGATATTCACATAATTATGTAGGATGCAATATAAGAATATTTGAGTATTTGAATATTTGCATGAAGTTATAAATTTGCTTTTGCTGGTCTTTAAAGTATTTTTTATGTATAGCTCACTCAAAAATAATTTTTTCATAGAAAAATGTAATAATTATTATTTTTAATAAACATTTAATCTTTAAAAACAGTTTCTTAGAAATAAATTTCTCTTAAGAGAGGGGCATCAACATCTGTTCTAATTCAACAATCAACTCAACGACAGGATCTATCGTATCTCCAAACTATCCGAATGGCTTTGGAAGCAGGACCTGTATCTTAACAATCAGGCAACCCTTAAACTTCGCAGTGAAGTTCAATGTTTCGTATATAAATTTAAAACATATAAAAAATGGTAAGTATGTTTGACTATTGTTCACTGATGAAGTATGAATAAACTACTGATTAAATAAATCTGTTAAAAAATTGACCAAAAGTTTACAAAGTAGCCAAAAACTCATTCACTTTTTATATTAATTTTTGCATTACTACATTGTCAGACTTTACTGGAAATTCATTACTACCATTTATGTTTGGTCCTTTTGGCATCAAAATAAGCAAAATTAAACTTTCATTGATATAACAAGATAAATGAATTTAACAGGTAACCAAATAATATGTTTGGATTCCATTACTATATCTGGTGGAACATCAAAACAATTCTGTGGCAACGAGACCTCTTTAACATTTACACCATATACCAATGTTGTAACATTGACATTCAGATCAAGTGGAACGGCACCTATGGAAGGATTTAATCTTACATTTGCAAGTTTCTATCGTAAGTATGTAACGGTGCTTTATATACAAATGCACACCATACAAAAACAAAAGTAATGATACAAATTTGTTTGCAAAAACAAATGTAGAGTTTTACCATAAAGCTGTTAAAGACAAATAAGAATACAAAATTAGTTAGTGTAACTCAAATGTGTTACAGCCCCAAGCAAATGCAGCTACATGATCTATCTTAACTTAAAAGAATCATTTTTTTAATCTAAGGCTTTTCACGTTGTTCCAGTTTAATTGTAACACAAATGAAACGAAATATCTCTTGACTCCAAGCCTCTGTAGCTCTGTTGACAAAAAACCCTGCAATTTTTTTTATCTATGCATAATTTATATTCAGCAATATTTTCGATTATTTATTATGAATTATTTGGGAAAGTAAATACTTCACTCGTTACAATCGCTTTTTCATTTATCTACTGTTTACCTTTGTCTAAATCAATCAAATGTAAATTTTTGACGAGACTTTCCATAAATAATTGGATAATTATTAAAAAATATAATTTCATAAGCTCTCTAAAAACAATAAACTTGAGTTTTCTATGACAAAATTGCTTTTATCTTTGACATAATTGACAATGACAGTGTCAAAAATCTTATGTGGGTTGATTTTGTTACTACTTGCAACTACAAAGAAAAATTGACAATCTGGAAATTTAAATAAAAACTAAAAGAACTAAAGAAATAAAAACCTTATTGAAGAATCTTTCTATCATTTCTTTTTTGCAAAAAATGGGCCATAGTAATATTTGCAAAATTTGGTCGATAATTTGTTAAAGAATATTGTCATTCGTATTTCATATTCGAAAAAATATTTTTAAAATTAACTGTTTTGAAAAATTGCTTCGTGCCCACTTCGCTATATACTTACATACACCACCTTTTCATTTTTATAAAACCATTATTTGTCCTAAATTATCTAGGAACGGATTTACCTTCTGCAACAAGTGTTTGCTCGAATAAAATGATATACACTTCTGCTGGTCGAATTTACTCACCTGGATTTCCTAATGCCTACAGTAACAATCTAAGATGTAGTGTTACAATTGTTGTTCCTTTTGATAAAGCACTGGAATTCGTCATCAATTATTATGATATTGAATGTAAGTTAAATTTCTATGCATTATCTCCATGTAAAATTGTATCTACCAAATAATTAAAAAAATGTCATCGATAGCTATACATAGGTTTTTGTTTATGTTACGTTAAAACGTTAGAATCCTGAAAACTTTTTGCACAATAACTTTCGGACATCAGTTTACATAAGATTGCACAAACAATGTTGTAGATGCGACGAAAATTTTGTCATCTTGTAAACTTTTTCTAAAATAATTGTTGATTCTTTTATATGAAGAATAAAATAACAAATCTTGTTCTTTAATTCAAGTTTAACACAGTGCCCACACATCATTTGAATTATTATCCCTAAATCAGGAAACGGTGTACAAAAACACAAAGAAATTTTTCAGTTACCATTCAAATACAGCATAATCGACTTTCCGTTTCTTTGTTGATAGACAAATATGTCCTGATCGATTAAAAAGGTTTAAATTAAGAGACTCTACTTGCGTACTTTGACTTTGATAATTTTCATTAATGATATGAGATAGAGACAAAAATAACTCTAGTAACTTCAAAGAATATCAAAAAATATGCGTATAAAAGATGTAATAGAATGAAAATAAAAACAAACAAAAAATCCTCATCAGTTATATTTTAACTTATATTTTGAATTTAAAAACTTCAATGCATTTAATTAGTACATCCCACATGTGTATGGGATAAATTGTCATTGTCAAATGGTGCCACATCAAAGGTCATTTGCGGTCACTCGCCAATCAACGGTCGGCCACAGAAATTTAACGATGGGAATGTTGTCATAAGTTTTACGTCTGACGTCATTATTACTCGTCCTGGATTTTTGCTGACTTTTCGTAGTATTCCTTTAATACGTAAGTGGATAACTCTTGTTATATAATTTTAATGTTGAATTAGTAAGAAAAATTTACAATGTAGTGCATTATACTCGTGCCAAATAATACCTCCATTTCGTTCGAAAATTTGTCACAATTCAATATTTTTTCTAGGATCGTCTATTAACTGCATTTTTGATGATGGTTTTTGCAACCAGACAAAGACAGATAATTGGGTAAGAACTAATGGGGCATCAGGAATTAATCGTCCCACCTTCGATCATACAGCTGGCACTTCAACAGGTATGTAGAGTTAAGTCTTATCTAGAGTTTGAATATTTAGTTTTCCCTTTGCCAATAAAAACTTATAGAGACCACAAAGAACATGACATGTAAAAAAGTCCTGGAACTGTTAAGAAAAAAATTCATTTCTATCATAGCCTTGAATAGACTCTTTTTTATTGCGAACTGTTTTATCGCATTCGTTTAATTTTATACGCTTACATATAAATTTGCAACAAAATTTATATTAATTGAAAGTTCGCAATGTTTAGTCATACATAGCATTGTTTCAGTTTTTTATAAGCAGTAAGTAAAATAAAAAGTAAGGTTCTGCCAAAAATTTGCAAAAAAGTGGTAAATTAATATTTAGCTTTTAGCTTTAGAAAGAATTAATATTTAGCTTTAGAAAGAATTAAAGTTTTTCTATTTAAATACGATTTCCCGTAACAAGGATTTTGCAATTGTGGACAAGTGTAAGCATGAAATCTGATAAGTGCCAATTTTATAATGTAGAATGACCAAGGACTTGTATCACGCTTCATCTAAAAACTCTTGTAATAAAATCTTGAAATAGCGGTGATAGTTATTTTGTGGAAATTATAAAGATTTTAACTTTCTTTTATAATTGTGCTCTGAGAACTTAAATTCTATCGCATTCTAATATATACAATGTTAATGTTAGTTTGTTAATACGCTCTTGGTAGGATGTTTAGGTTCACTCATTAAAGTCATGTATTTTATAATCTAAACTATGACACATACTATAATGTTATTGCACGTAAGCACTGCAGAGCATAAGAGACTGAAGGCCTCATTCCACCCCCCCCCCCAAAAAAAAATTCTTTTGTTTGATATGTTATTGCAAGTTTGTAAGCTATAACCAACACTACTAGATTTTTATGAAGAAATAATAACAATAAAAGAAACTTCAGTACACTTATTGAGCAGGATCTATTTATATAATTTTAAAACTAAAATTAATGACTAACTCTATCATTCTGATTAGAATACCTTAACAACTTTTGTGTTAAGGTAAGGACAAATTACTTTTTAACAAAACTTTATCAATAGCGGCTCATCCAGTAGGCTAAATACTTAAGCGTAAAAGCACATGATTTTATGAGGTCAGTTCTTTCTTGACGTATAATTAGCCACTGGCCGGAGGCCAGGCGACTATCGGTTTTGACAAGCATTTTTGTTCGATGTCGGATCTTTGCTGATGTCCACAAATTAAACACTTTATGTAAACTGAACAAAGAATCCATAACAATGGCGATGGGAAATATATGTAAAACGGATAATTTGTTTAACTTGTACAAAGAAAAAAGAAATCATGCCCAAAAGCTAAACGTTATTATATCTACAATACCTGCACAAAATGCATGTCAAATTAAAGGCAATAAAGACATAGAGATCGATATTAATTACACTGCGTGAAATTGTTTTGCCCCTAATTGTTCTACGGATATCAATAGTTAGCCACGAGTGCCCTTTGTGGGGCTTTCCGGCTACCTGTACAGCTTGCATTTTCATTATGAAAATCTTTTTCTTTTTAAATCTGTATTTTAATTTGTCTAAATCTGACGTTATGTCCAAATGTTAATACGTATATGATACATTGATTTTTTTCCAAGCTACGGCCCGGCAAATAACGTTAAAAAAAAGCGTCTTTTCAGTGATAAGTTTTTGCCACTCCGCTGACTACATACATGTGATTTATTTAGAACATTTATGCTGCTAAAATATTAATAGTAGGAGAAACGACTAAGTATTAAGAAAATGCAATCTCAGTATTGATTACTATATACTGATTAATATGCTATACTCATGCATGTCATTGATTTTCAAAATTTTGTTTGAACTTTAAAATGAACTTTTCTCCATTGTTTAAACTACGAGTAGCAAACACAAGTTGCAAACGTCGTCAAGAGACGGAACATGGTCGAGAAATATAAGTATGACTTAAAGGCACAAAACTTTTCATAGCGTACAGAACCCGTAACTTGTTATTCGGCATTAAAATGTAATTTCGAACTATGGGTGTTTATATTTTGTATTAATTCAAAGAGCAGTTGTTAAAATTGTTTGTACTTTACGAATTTTCGGATGAAAGTAATAAAAATTTTTAACTTGGTGACCCAAGTCTCCAATCTAGGAAGCCCTTTTTTTGGTCCCCTCAATCTAACATTAGACAGCTCTAGCAAACATGACGCGACGTCGATGATAACGAGAAAATTGAGTGTCGTAGCGTGCTTGTATTTCCGGTTAAGTTTAGAACGGCGTTTATGTTTATTTGAGGACGTGAAAATGGGTGATTTGACGTTCTTCCCATGGTTTTATTGAATCACGTACATACTAAAAATTATGCAAGTTGCAAGAGAAATTGCTCTCACACGCAGTTAAACATGGCTTTATATTGGGTTTTAGCTTTTTAAAGGATTCATGTTTCCTAATGACAAATTCATAGGCGTTTATTCCCATTTATTTAAATTGCCTTTTTTATACGTGCTCTAAATTTCGTTGTGGGAATTTTTATATCATTAGGTAACTGATAATTTTGACATTCTTCAACGTTGTTTCACTTTTATTGTTAATTATTTAATTTCTCTACTTTTAAGGTTACTTTATTTTGCTACAAACAAACTATAACGAAAGAATTCAGTCTGGAAGCATCACTTTCAATTTGACTGCAAATGTAACAAAGTCATGCTTAAGTTTTTGGTATCAAAGCTCTGGCAATACGAGTGCTCCAAATACTATTGGCGTTTATTTGATCTCAAATGAAAGAGTCATGCTCATGTGGAATGATACGCTAAAGCATGATTTGTTCTGGAACAAAGCTCAGTCAACTGTTAATCTTACTCATGGAAATTATACAGTAAGTAGTGCAATAGAAAATTGATGAAATGCATAAGTCATAAAAAAATTCAAATTTCTTACGTACTGATAAAATTTTCCATTACCAAATTATTTGTTAGATCCTTAATCTTTAAAAGTTAACATATTGTAATCATTTAAATACGTAATGATCCCTTTAGATCATTATAGCTAATGCACATAAATCATTGTTAGCAGATGGCAAAAAATAGCTTTGCCAAAATAGAAAAAAAACTATACAAGCTATAAGTTTGTAAATACCTAATAATATTTATAAAAAAAGTTTTCGGTTTCATAGCTATAAACAAAAAACAAAAATGACTGATACTGCTTGTCATCAGGTGCCACAAAAGTGTTACTTGTTTGATTGCTATTTACTGTTTGTAATTCGAAAAATTTTTCGTGCGAGTAGATAGACGGATATTCAAATAGCTATATTTTTTGTTATACACTTGCATATTTCTTTTTCGGTAAAAAGAGTTTTAAAACGAAAGATTTCCATAATTTCGTAGAAGCATTATTGCTAATATGCATTTAATATAGACGACGAGTTTCATGAGAATAGACATGTTTCGACATCTCATGATGCCATCTTCAGTATAAATGAACAATTACATAAATACTACAAAGTTTATATAAAAGTATTATGATTTAGTGAAATAAATATATAAATATAGATAAATCATAACAATAATAAGGAAATTTAGATAAGTTAATGGGTAGCGTGTTACAAACAAATATTGTGTTGAATCTAAAAACTTGAACATTGAGGTCAGGGTCAGTTTTGGTATTGTGCAGTGCTTCTTTGATTTTAAGGGAGAATGTGGTGTCTGCAGCGTAAATGTTTTTAAAGCAAGAGGGTGAATAGTTGGTTTTACATGAGAGAGATTTAAGAAAGTGTCGGTAGATATGAGAGTTTTTTCTATTGTGTTATGTTCCTTGATTCTGGTGAATAAATGGCCCAACGTTTCGCCAATATATTAGGAATCACATTCCGTGCAAATGAGTTCATATACCACCATGTATTTAATGGAATCAGGGATTGGGTCTTTGAGTGAGAAAAGGTTTTTGATTTTGAATGATGTGAAAACTACTCGAATGTAAATATCTGTACAGAAGCGTTTCATAATGTTGGTAAGTGTGCGCTGTGTATGTCGTGGGTAATGTACCATGTATGGTAGCTTAAATTATAGAATTATTATTTTGGAATTTTTGTTTATGTCTCGTTGAAAGCCAATGTTTGTATTGTTAAGATTGTATGCTCTGTCGATAAGTATGCGTATAAGTGCGGTTTTGTATGAAAGTGACGTGAAATCAAAATAGTTCGTCAGAAGTCCTGTGTATGTTGGTTTGTTATATGTAAACTTAGTACAGTTGTCATAGGCTTTTGTTAGTAAAATGTCAAGAAGTAGCAGTTGATCTTGTTGTTAAGTTTCCAACGAAAATTGGAAATGTTTGCGTGCTGTATGTTAATGTAATTATAAAACTTTATGTCCTCGTCAGAAAATTTTCAATCAAATAAAAAATGCGTCTGTGCTGTTCTTACTAAAAACAGTTGTGTGAGGTCTGTCTTGTGCATATTTAACCTGGAGTTGTGAGTGAATATTGCGTCAGTTGCTAGGTTGATATTCTTCACCTCGTAGGAGATGAAGAATTTTTAAAAAGAAGTTTGATGAGTTGAAAGATGAGAGGTCGTCGAAGAAACTAAAAGAATCTTTTTTGTGTACTGGTCCTCTGGTATAATTGGTTTTAGTAGAGAACTATAATACTTAGCTAGATTATAATTGTATGCATTAATTGATGAAACTATGGGTCGTAGTAAAGGTAATTTTTCTGGTTTTCATTTTTTGTGTTGTTTTTTCTAAACATTAAAAGTCCCAATCCCTGATTCACTTAAATGCATGGTGGTATATAAATTCAATTGCACGGGATGTAATTCCCGATACACCGGCGAAACTTTGAGCCATTTATCCACCAGAATCAGGAAACATACCACAACAGACAAAAACTTTCATATTTACCGGCACCTTCTTAAATCTCATTCATGTAAAACCAACTATTCACCCACTTGCTTCAAAATAATCGACACTGCAGACACCTCGTTCTCCCTTAAGTTAAAAGAAGCACTCCATACTAACAATTAAAACTAATTAACCCTAACCTCGATGTTCAAGTTTTTTGATTTAACACAATATTTGGTTTGTAACATGCTTCCAATAATTTATGTCATTTCCTTATCATTGTTAAAATTTATCCATATTTATATATTTATGTCACTGTACATATCACTTTTATATAAACCTTGTATTATTTATGTAATTATTCATTTATACTGAAGATGGCATCATGCGATGTCGAAACATGTTTATTCTTAAAAACTCGTCGTCTTTATGCGCATTTTAGGGTGTTTTAATAAAATTTTCCTTGTTTTATAGATAGTCTTAAAAGTACTCGTCGAGTCATACCCAGGTTATGTTGCCTTAGATGATATTTCAGTTGTTCTTGGAGAATGTGTCAAACAAGGTAGTTTTTGAAGGTTTTGATTGTCTTAAGTTACTGTTGCCGTTGTGACTAAGTTCTTAAAAATGTACAGTAAAGACAGTTCTCTTGTCATTTCTGAACCAATAAGGCAATTTTATTTATAAGATTCCCGCCAACATTTGAAAATCACTACTTTTCAAATAAATCCCATTTTAAAATAACACTTATAACCAAAACATTTAAGTGAACAAACTCGACTTGTGACAGACTTTGTAGCATCAACACAATTAATAAACTATATAAGATGCGAGAGGTGATAAAGTACATGAGAAAGTATAACCACTTATTGACAAGTGCAATTCGCAGACTATTCTAGAAAGCAGTTGCTGCTTACAGAACTTGTAACACTAACTCTTACCTATGTCCAGTGGCAAGGCTTGCCCGATCTTCTAAACCTAAAATTCAGATTTTCTCAAAATTATTATTCATAGCTTTAGAGAAAACTATTCCATTAACTGTTTTTCTTTAAATTTTTGTAAATGTAGAACGTCTAGTTCAGTATAGATTTCTGTTCTGAGAACTCAAATTGACTTTGAAGATAACTACCACTAATGTTGTGGAAAAGTCAATCAACATCAACACTTACAGTCCTTCCTATAACTCTATACTAACCTACACAATGACGATCTACATTTAAAAACAAGCAACGATACTCTCGGGCTCAAGCTATTTGTACTTTAACTGTTTTTCCTTACAGAGATTGAGCACAAAAAGATTCTTGTTTTAAGTAAAAAACGGGCTTGCTTTGTTTTAAAGATAACTCCAAACCTTACCTCTAGCCATAAACCTTTAGATTGTCCCTAACTCTAATACATCTCCAACAATTTAGCAAAGCCATTTTGATAAGCATTGGAATAATATTATTTTATTTATTGTTATCTCCTAAAATTTAAATATTTTTCCTATTATCAATATGCTCTTAGTCTCTATACTTTAATATCTCTATCCTTGGGATATCAGTTTCTCTTTTAGTTATTCTAGATTTGAACTTTCCTGGATAAGTGACTCATGAACAGTGCCAATTTACTTTGAACAGATGTTTATGCTTTAGATAAGATTTGAGAGACGAAAAGTTTTGCGAAATTGCTTGGAAGACATATTAGCACTTATTCCATAAAGAAGACTATGACATAAATCATTCACAATTTTATTTTTTCCTTTTTCAACTTCTTAGTCAATTTTCAAATAAACTGTTGATACCGACACTATTATAAATGTAGGCTATGATGCCGGCTAGAAGAAAGTTTACATTAATAAAATTTTACCTCTCAAGTAATTCGATTTCAATGTTTTAATTACTTCTGATAAAAAAAACTTTCCAAATACCACTTTATTTATGACTAATTTACTGTAACGAACCACTTTTTTTAACAAATTTTTAGAAAAATCACGTCATGTAGCAGCTAACAGAAATGTAACATAAAAACAAAATGTTTTACCTTTCAAACCCGATGAACTACTGACTTTTGACCTTAAAATGCTCATTGTTAGCTTTGATTGTTGCTGAAACACCTATTTTAAATACTCATCAGTAATTTTTGGCTTTAAATGGAGGAAGATTTATCTTAATTTGTCGATTAATTAAAGCTTTGTCTTGTAAAATAGGATATTAATATCATTAGGTGTAAAATGCAGTTAATATTGATATACATCCACGTGCAAAACAATGAGCTAGTTTTCTCTAAAGATAAACAGTTAGTTATTTTGAAAAATACTATGTATCAATTTTTTGTCAAAGTCTAAAATATTTACTTGGATGTAAAACAACTGACGGCATGACGTCCTTAAAATTGCACTGACCCATTTTTCTTCAACTCACTTGATATTTAACATTATAATTGAAGAAAAGTAAACCAAATCAATAAAATGACAGAGCATCCTAGTTTTTGTATTACCGACTAAGTTTTATTACAAATTTATTGACAGAGTAAAATGTTTGTTGACTAACTATAATAGAAATCTGATGAAAATTTGACAGGTATTTCTTCTCAAATGAGCTCCTGTGGCAAGCGCAAGGTACTCCCTGGATCTCAGTCTCCACAGTCTCTCATTGTAGGAGGAACAGAAGCTACACCAAACTCTTGGCCATGGATAGTTAGTTTGACTCGAAGAGGCTCTATTCATTGTGCAGGATCAATTATTAACAAATATTGGATTTTGACAGCAGCTCATTGTCTTGTACAGTCAACAATACCTGCAACTTTTTTCACAGGAATTACAATAAATGTTGCAGATCATAGAACAGATACAACCAGTGTTTATGAATACTCTTTGACGTCAGTGGCCATGTATATTCATCCTAAATATTATGTAAACGGACCTGTATATTTTGCGGACTATGACGTTGCTTTGATGAAACTCCCGACACCTTTGAACTTTACCGAACGTGTGCAGCCTGTCTGTCTTCCAAGTCAAGATGATATTTTTAACGGAAATGATACATGTTTTGTGATTGGCTGGGGACGTACTGCATCTGGCTTCACTTCTCCATATTTACAACAGGTGAAACTTGATGTTATTAGTCTTCAAGAATGCAATAGTTTTAGCTTTTTTAACGGGAGAGTCTCACCAAGATCAGTCTGTGGTGGTCGTAGATCAGGTGGAGTCAGTGCTTGTAATGGTGATAGTGGTGGTCCCTATCAATGTAAACGCAATAATACTTGGATACAATTAGGGATAGTCTCTTGGGGACGCTCTTGTGTGCAAGCTAGATATTACAGCGTGTTTATGGATGTCAGAAAATTCTTGCAGCCATTTATTGAAACAATTCAAAGAGGTAAAAACAAACTTTATTTTTTTCATTAATTTTATTCAAAAAAGGTCAGTTTTTTTCTCTACAACCAGCAGTAACGAAATATAAAGGATTTTAATGTAGACAACAACTGAACTTATCGCTAATACGATGGAAAGAATTTTTACAGCTCCAAATTCTTTATTAATGTAATGCAAATTTCAGTAAAACGATGTAAGCACAGAGTAGATTATTGCATAATAATCAGCAACACTTCAAGTGATATCACTGATATGCAGAAAAGTATTCTACAAATTGCTTTAGTGTCAAAGATTGCTTATATTTTGCTAATATTTCAAAGTTTAAGGAAAGATAGACAGAGCTTCTACACAAGCTGTTGAATTTCAGCCAAAAAAATTTTTCCTGTTTTGATTTAGTTTGTTTTTAATTGTTTAACACTAGTTTACGCTCATTGTACTAGTAAGAAACAGGCCTAGTTTGACACTGAGTTTAAATAGTAAGAAGAAATTTAAATAATATGATGTTAATTATTCAAGTAGTAATTAATTTGAAATGTAAATTCAATAAATGAGGTAATATAATTAGCAAGAGTTTCTCTTGTAGGTCAGAACACTAATCTAACCATGTACTACTCAAGAGCAATTGGAGTTGTGTTTCAAAACTTATCAGAACTATATTCCTCGAATCTTTCGGTTATTTTAACGAGTAATGGAGAATTTTCTGATATCGATATGGTTGGATATTTCCAAGCACTTCCTTATCAGATTGAGCTTGTGAAGCAAACAACCTTAATTGATCTTATTACGGTTTCTGGACAGCAAAATTTAACTTCAAATACGACGACAATACAACATATTGCTTCTGTTCTTGTCCGGTATATAAGTAGCCTGTATGCTGATTTTAGATCTGGAAGATCGGGCAGACGTACTTGTAAGTATACACATGTTAAATTATGCGTTTAAAATACTAGTACGACATAATTTTTTATGAATACTTATATAATTGCATCATTTTTTACCATTCACCAACGCTATTGCTTATAGTATAACTAGTTATATACATTTTTAACAAAAGTTAGCATTAGTTTAATTATACTATTTGTTAATTATTAGTTATAACTTCACAGGAAGTTATCTTATTATGCACAAGCCGATCTAGCGTTTATTTATTACGGTGCCGGTGTTTTTTTGTAACTGCTGTATATTAATGATAATGATAGTTAAAATTGGGATTTTATTTAATGAAAAAAAAATTAACTGTCGTGAACGGAGAAAGGAAGAAACAAGTTGAAATCATAAAACAGTACAGCAAGCTTTCAAAACATTAATGACATCTTTAAATGATCCGCATTTGTTGTGATGGGGCAAACCTAATGTTTACTCCTTGCTTAAATCAGAATATAAACACTGCTAAGATTGTCGAAACGTTAGTTAGCATCAACACCAACAATCCTTCTCAGGACTCTACCATCTTGAATGATCTGTTCCTACTAACATATAACGACGTTTCCTGGTTTAAACCATTAACTTTATACACACCTTGCTCATATTAACTTCTTAATTAAAAACAGAATTAATTGACTTGTAAAGAGTCTCCTCTAACGCTTTTATTGTTTGTTTTTCAGTTGCACCAGATTCAAATAGTATGATTGGGGAAAATGGTAAGAATTTCACTTTGGAATTTTTTTTAGATTTGTGTTTTTAATAAATAATAGCCTAAAGTTTCTTTTGTAAAAATAAAGATAGAATGATGTTCGCATGAACATTAATAAAAAGTGTTCCTTTTTTATGCAAACGTCTTTGTTCATTAGGAGCAATAGAAAAATCTGTAAATGCGCATTTATTCGTGTCAAAATATAAATCTAAGAATCCTTTGATAAAATTTGGAAAGTATGGTAATCAAAAATCGTATTTTTTCAACTTGGAGCCCATTTATTAATTATCCATGTTTGAACATATTTTTTGCTTTGTTTATAAACTGTTTTTCTTGTAATAATTATAATGACGGATTTTGAAACATATAATTCATTAAATTGATGTATTCTAAAAGAGGAGTATGAAAAAAAAACTTTTCATTTGAATAGGTAGTTGCTCCTTTGAAACTGGCATTGACAATTCCAGATGCACATGGAAGAATGTTATATATCCACTTGACAACTTTGATTGGACAATCCATTCAGGCTCAACATCAAGTCTGAGCACTGGACCTAGCTCAGACAGAAGAGGATCGATTACTGGTAAGTCTTTAATTAAAATACATGTTTTAAAACTATCCTTAAATAAAACATTGAAGTTAAATAAAAGAGTCTAAAATGACGAAAGCAACTAAATTTTTGTGAATTATATAGAAATCTTAGTTGTAATTGCATGTAAAAGGCTATTTCACTTTACATAGCTTTCCAAAATCTTATTCGATTTTCATAGATATTTTAAAAAGAGTATTATTAATGTTATCATTGACAAAATTGAGTGCAGCCGGGGAAGTATTTTAGCCTAAATTAGCGATATTACTTTAAAGTGGGAAATTACGACATTAAATAGAGTACATACAAAGAAGCAAGCATTAAGTAATTATTCCTATTATTTTCCCCAACACAGTTACATCTACATACACTTTTTCATAAGTTAAGAATGATCATGGAACCACGATTAAGCAACCGTACACTATGCCTATAGTTTCCTAACAAACGCCGCTGTTCATTTCAGATTGTTTTAAAAGATTCTATTTTTTTCTAAATATATTAAAACAAGTAATTTAGGCAAGTTGAGCTACACTCCAATAAATAAGATTAGATTTTAAGGTCTACTGTGCTTTAAGACAAAAATATTTCCTTTTTAGACAAACAGAGATTCTATATAATCACATAACCATGAATGATGCGTTTAAGGCGAAAGACATCTATTAACAAACGCAACAATTAAAGCAATGCAAATCTTTCTTGATGTATTATAGATATGCACAGAGGATATATCACAGATATGCTCAGAAATAATTTATCTACTGAAACATATATACCTAGAAGTAATGATAGCAAAGTTTTTGGTTTTTAAACCAAATACTTGAATTTATAGAAATATCTCTCTCGTACTCAGGATATTTCACATGGAATAGTCTTCCAACAATATTGTAACATCGCCTTAATTAAAGGAAAATTTAATTATTTTTTTTATATAATACAGTGGAACCCATGTCTTTCCATTGACTGTTTCCAGAAGTACGAAAACAATTGGTGAAATGGTCACTTCTGTACTATCGTACATACTTTTTACGTCTCTAATAGAAATCCAGCTGATTTTGTCATTGGCATTTTACAAAAAGTCTTTGCATCTCTTAATACTTAAATTTAACAAAAAAAAATTAAGCAATATTTGCCTAAGATCAATATATATTGAGAAAATCACCACTATGGTCATATGTCAATTTTGCATAAATCAACAAATATTCTTGGCAGCGATTAAATTTTTTATTTTCAAAGAAAGAATCATATGAAGCAAAAAAGAAAACTTAATTCACTCTAATCATGCATTATTTAAAAGTGATTAACATCGTTTTGTTGACCTACACTGGACTTTATTTTACCTAGCTTCCTCCAAAACACGTTTTAAACCATATTTTGTCATTTTTAACATTAGAGCTATGTCGACACTGCCATTTCAGGTCGGTCTCGATTAGGGACTTTCTTCCAAAATTAGGGACTTTGCCCATATGCTATGTTGTTTGTAATGGCTATTTTACCTAAAAACAACTGAGATCAATTCCAGTAAAGGAAATGGATACAAACCTTTATGCAAGTGTATGACTAAAACATATTTGAAACAAATTGTAGTTTCAAAAAACGAGAGTGTTGTTAAAAAAAACAAAAAAAAATTTCTTGAATTGCTTAAAAATGTCTTTTAGGAAAATACATTTACATTGAAACATCAAGTCCCCGTGTGCTGGGTGATAAAGCATGGTTGGTTAGCAACTACTTTAATACAACAACCAAATGTTTTACATTTTGGTATCATATGTATGGATCAACAATTGGTTCTCTTAATATATACCAACAATATATGGGAGGTAGATTAAAGCTGTTGTGGACATTAAGTGGCAATAGAGGAAATCAATGGAACAGAGCTCAAGTTACAACAAACTTTACAGAAGCAAAAACGAGGGTGAGTATAAACATCAATGTTCTCAAACTCTGCATATCAGAGTACAAAAATGCTTTGTTTCAACATTGAAAGCTTATTTAGATTTTTAAAAGGTGTCGGCGGGAAATGAGAATATAAAAAGTTCCAAGAAAAATTTTCAATTGTATGTTCACACCTCATAAATAATTTTATCTTGTTTCTTAACTCTTCAACCAATTAAATGTTTGGCTGTAGACTTTCCCCAGAAAATCATTTTTCTTTCCCTTTCAAAAGTTTTTTATCTTGTAAAATATTTTAAATTTTGGATGCTGTTGTATAATTATAAAGAAGGATTGATGTCTTAAAACTTATATCCGTGTTACAAATGTTACAAACTTAAATCCCTGTAAGCCACGTGTCTCCAGACAAAAATTTCGCTTGTTCTCAATCATAACATTACAAATCGACTTTTTGGCTACCCTTTGTGGTTTCAAAAACATCCTTCTTACTTTTGTTCATATAATTTGCTACTAACTTTCTATTAAAAGATCAAACAATCTATATTAGCAACTAAACTTGATGTTGCATGTTTTCATTCACCTATGACTCCAAGACTCAGGGCACTTATTTATTATAACTGCTCATTTGGCAATCAAAAGTGAAAAAGCGCGTATGTCTAACGTTAAATTACTAAAGTGCATAATCGTTTTTGAGTAAACTTTGCATACTACCTTGTAAAAGTTTGAATATGTAATAAAGTAAACAATGTCTATATGAATCACCGAACAGCATATTTTCTTGCTAAAAACTTGCTAAAACCTTGCTTAAAAGCTCTTTTTATGTAGATCATCGTTGAAGGTGTTTGTGGCTCCAGCTTTACGGGTGATATTGCTCTAGATGATTTTGTTTTTCTTAATGGTTCATGTGATATCCATCCCACCTATGCTGAACCACGTTTTATCAGTAAGTTATTTAATATAAGGACGAGTTTTGATCGCTTTTTTACGAAATTACTTAATTTTTAACAGGTATTTCATGTATTTTCTATGCAGAATAAAGAACTGCAATGGTTATGTTTTGATGTATAAATAAAATTTTTAATAAATTTTAATCGTTGTTAACCAGTCAAATTATTCCTAAACAACAAATAAAAAAAAGCACAAATCTCAATAAAAGAACGGTTTTAGGAAAAAAAGCTTTGACGTTTACGTAAAAGATTGTTTTTTAAAGAGCTAAAAGATTCAATGAACTTAGTTTTGTCTTTTTTTCGTTGTAGCAATTGCTACGAACATTGTAACCATGTAACATTCTTGCACACAGGTCTTATCAATTCCCTATAGTTATCCAATTTGTTAACTTTCGAATCAAAAAACTGATTTTTATTCGTATTAGATAGTCGTATAGAGACAATCGTATTAGATAGTCGTATAGAGATGCCGCATGTCCCTTTTACTTTCAAACGATTCTCCAAAAAATTTCAATCTTTTAGATACTACATCAACCATTTCCCCAACTCCGACAACCTCGTACGGTAAGTATATATAAAAATTAAAGAAAGGGCTAATTTGTTACTCTTTTCAACTCGTGTTTCAAATGGAGGACATACGTCTTTTATTTTATTTCTTACCCATATTTACCCTAATGCAATGTTCGATTATGGTACGAGTTTCTTATTTGTCAATCTTTTTTTATAATTGTTAGTCCATAGACTTTTGCTTGTTAAAAACAAAAGAGTTGTCTTAACTTTGTTATACTAAGTGTATACCAGTTTTATTTAAAGTACATGCAGAACTTGCAATATAATGACAATTGTGAAACAACATAGATGTTCTGTTTGTTCTACAGCCACACCTACCTCAACAACCACGATTGGTGCAAATGGTAAGGGTTGTACATTTAAATTTAATTATATTATACTGTTAATTAATGTGTAAAAATAATTTAAGTGTGTGTATGTTACTTAAAGTTCTGGTCAGTTTTTAGAAAATTCAATTTAGTTATTATTTTAAAAAACAAACCCTCTGAAATCTATTTCTCTTTAAGTGCCGGGAATCAACATCTGTTCTGCTGCATCAATCAGTTTAACCTCTGCGACTATTGTGTCTCCAAACTATCCCAATGGCTCAGGAAATAGGACCTGTACTTTGACAATAAGGCAGCCCCTTAACATTGCAGTGAGGTTCAATATCTCAATTATTAACTTGGAACGTATACAAAATGGTAAGTGAATTCTACTACACCTCAAGGATGTTGTATCGAGTAAGGGTTTACTTTGACTGAACAGTTCAAGTAACTTTCTCAGCGAAAAGTTTTAACTAGGATATTAGATTTAGCTGTGATTTTTAAAATATCATTGAAAACAGTTTTTGAAATTTGCCAAATCGTTTCATTTTTATGCCTATTTCAATTTGGCAAAAAAGCTTCTTATAATGGACATCGTCTATTATTCTAAAATTCCGAAACTATTTACTATTGGATTCTGCAATAAAAGAGATATGTACCAACTACTAAGATGACGATAGAAATTGTGTTAACTTGGACTTACTGTCCTGGCGGACAAGTCCATTGAAAGGAATATTTTAACAACCATCACAATAAGATAATTTGACTAAATTTAAAACTGTTTCCACAAATACGTTAAACAATTCACTTACTTATGATATCTTATATAAATTATTTCACAAATCCAAAGATATACAGAGAGCTACATTTTATGTGAGAGCTACATTTTATTAAATTTCCAGAGAAGGATCACTTGTGTTTAGGATTTTAAAAGAAGTACATATTTTTTTATAAAATTTGTATTTTAATTAATGTTTTAATTTGCGCTTTATAAAGGCATAATGAATTAATTTAACAGGCAGAAGAGTTATATGTTTGGATTCCCTCACAATATCTGGTGGAACATCTAAACAATTCTGTGGCAACGAAACCTCTTTAACATTTACACCATATACCAATGTTGTATTATTGACATTCAGATCAAATGGAACGGCACCTATGGAAGGATTTAATCTTACATTTACAACTTTCTATCGTAAGTATGTAACGGTGCTTTATGTACCAATACACACCATACAAAAACAAAAATAATGATACAAAATATTTGCATAAACGTATGTAGAGTTTTACCATAAAGTTGTTAAAAGGCAAATAAGAATACATAATTAGTTAATGTAATTAAAATGTGTTACAGCACCCAATAAATTCACAATGACAATACACATTTCCTGTACACACAATACAATGACGTAAGAACCAGATAACAAAGACGGCTAACCTGACGTTTACTCCTCATTTGACTCTGAAGATGATTATCACTAATGTTGTCGAAACGTCAGTCAACAACAACAAAAACAGTCCTTCTCAGTACTATACCAACCAGGACGATCGACATTTACAAACATGTAATGAATTATTTGGGAAGGTAAATACTTCACTTATTACAATTTCTTTTTCATGTATTTACTGTTTACCTTTGTCTAAATCAATCAAATATAAATCTTCGACAGGACTTTCCATAAATAAATATATGAGCATAAGCGCTTAAAAACAACCAACGTCAGTTTCGTATAACAAAATTGATTTTACCTTTGACAAAATTGACACCAACTGTATCAAATATCTTATGTGGGTTGGTTTTGTTATTACCTGCAACTACAAAGAAAAATTGATTATCTGGATAATTAAATAAAAACTAAAGAACTGTGTTCCAATTTTTAAACAATCGAAAACCTTATCGGAAAGTCTTTCCATCACTTTTTGTTGCGAAGAATGTGCCATAGTAGTATTTGCAAAATTTGGTCAATAAATTGTGAAAGAACAATGTCCTTCGTATTTCATATACGAAAAAAGATTTAATAAAATGAACTGTTTTGGAAAATTGCTTCTTGCCCACTTCGCTATATATTTACATGCACCACCTTTTCATTAATATAAAACCATTATTTGTATTAAATTATTTAGGAACGGATTTACCTTCTGCAACAAATGTTTGCTCGAATAAAATGATATACACTTCAGCTGGTCGAATTTACTCACCTGGATTTCCTAATGCCTACAGTAACAATCTAAGATGTAGTGTCACAATTGTTGTTCCTTTTGAAAAAGCACTGGAAATCGTCATCAATTATTATGATATTGAATGTAAGTTAAATTTCTATGCATTATCTCCATTTAAAATTCTGTTTACCAAATAATTCAAAAAATTTCATCGATAGCTATATATAGGTTTTTGTTTGTGCTACCTTAAAATGTTAGAATCCTGAAAACTTTTTACACAATAAGTTTTAAACTTTGGTTTACAATACATTGCAAAAACAATGCTGTAGATGAGACGAAAATTTCGTCACTTTGTAAACGTTTTTCTAACATAATTGTTGATTCTTTTATATGAATAATAAAACAACAAATCATGTTTTTTATTTCAAGTTTAACACAGTGCCCACACAACGGTTGAGGTTTGTTGCAGTTTGGGGGAAATTTCTTTATCCTCCTGTCTACAATTGTAAACTATTATCCTTAAATCAGGAAACGGTGTACAAAAACAGAAAGAAATTTTTCAGTTACCTTTTAAGTACGGCGTAATTGACTTTCCGCTGCTTCGTTGATGGACAAATATGTCCTGATCGATTAAAAAGGTTTAAAAATAAAGACTCCACTTCCGTATTTTAACTTTGATCATTATCATTAATGATCTTTTATTTAGAACAGATAGATCAATATACGCAGATAGAGACAAAAACAACTCTCGTAACTTCAAAAAGTATAAAAAAATATGCGTATAAAAGATGTAAATAAATAAAAATCAAAACAAACAAAAAACACTCATCAGTTATATTTTTGCTTCTTTTTTAAATTTAAACACTTCAATGCATTTAATTAGTACATTCCACATGTGTATGGGATAAATTGTCATTGTCAAATGGTGCCACATCAAACGACATTTGCGGTCTCTCGCGAATCAACGGTCGGCCACAGAAGTTTAAAGATGGGAATGTTGTCATAAGTTTTACAACTGACTCCAGTGTTACTCGTACTGGATTTTTGCTGACTTTTCGTATTATTCCTTTAATACGTAAGTGGATAACTTGTGTTATTTATTCATAATATTGAATTTGTAAGAACAATTCACCATGTAGTGCATTATACTCGTGCCAAATAATGCCTCCATTTCGTTCGACAATTTGTCACAATTCAATGCTTTTTTTTAGGATCGTCTATTAACTGCATTTTTGATGATGGTTTTTGCAACCAGACAAAGACAGATAATTGGGTAAGAACTAATGGAGCATCAGGAATTAATCGTCCCACCTTCGATCATACAACTGGCACTGCAACAGGTATGTAGAGTTAAGTTGCATCCGGAGTTTAAATATTTTGTTGTCACTTTGCGAAAAAAAATTATAGAGACCACAAAAAAACATGACATGTAAAATAGTCCTGGAACTGTTAAGAAAAAAATTCATTTCTACCATAGCCCAGAATAGACTCTTTTTTTATTGCGAACTTTTTCATTGCATTCGTTTAATTTTATACGTTTACATATAAATTTGCAATAAAGCCTAGTTTATATTAATTGAAAGTTGTAATGTTTAGTCATACATGGCATTGTGTCAGTTTTTTATAAGCTGTAAGTGAAATAAAAAGTAAGGTTCTGCCAATTGATTTGCAAAAAAGTCGTAAATATTGGAAGGAATGAAAGTTTTTCTATTTAAATACGATTTCCCGTAACAAGGATTTTGCAATTATGGACAAATGTAAGCATGAAATCTGACAAGTGCCAATTTTATAATGTAGAATGACCAAGGACTTGTATCACGCTTCATCTAAAAACTCTTGTAATAAAATCTTGAAATAGCGGTGATAGTTATTTTGTGGAAAGTATAAAGATTTTAACTTTCTTTTATAATTGTGCTCTGAGAACTTAAATTCTATCGCATTCTAATATATACAATGCTAATGTTAGTTTGTTAATACGCTCTTGGTAGGATGTTTAGGTTCACTCATTAAAGTCATGTATTTTATAATCTAAACTATGACACATACTATAATGTTATTGCACGTAAGCACTGCAGAGCATAAGAGAATGAAGGCCTCATTCCACCCCCCCCCCCAAAAAAAAAAATTCTTTTGTTTGATATGTTATTGCAAATTTGTAAGCTATAACCAACACTGCTAGATTTTTATGAAGAAATAATAACAATAAAAGAAACTTCAGTACACTTATTGAGCAGGATCTATTTATATAATTTTAAAACTAAAATTAATGACTAACTCTATCATTCTGATTAGAATACCTTAACAACTTTTATATTAAGGTAATTATAAATAACCTTTTTTTAACAAAAACTTTATCAATAGCGGATCATCCAGTAGGCTAATTACTTAAGCGTAAAAGCACATGATTTTATGAGGTCAGTTCTTTCTTGACGTACAATTAGCCACTGGCCGGAGGCCAGGCGACTATCGGTTTTGACAAGCATTTTTGTTCGATGTCGGATCTTTGCTGCTGTTCACAAATTAAACACTTCATATAAACTGAACAAAGAATCCATAACATTGGCGATGAGAAAGAGATGTAAAATGGATAATTTGTTTAACTTGTACAAAGAAAAAGGAAAGCATGCCCCAAAAGCTAAACGTTATTATATCTACAATACCTGCACAAAATGCATGTCAAATTAAAGGCAATAAAGACATAGAGATCGATATTAATTACGCTGCGTGAAATTGTTTTGCCCCTAATTGTTCTACGGATATCAAAATAGTTAGCCACAAGTGCCCTTTGTGGGGCTTTCCGGCTACCTGTACAGCTTGCATTTTCATTATGAAAATCTTTTTCTTTTTAAATCTGTATTTTAATTTGTCTAAATCTGACGTTATGTCCAAATGTTAATACGTATATGATACATTGATTTTTTTCCAAGCTACGGCCCGGCAAATAACGTTAAAAAAAAGCGTCTTTTCAGTGATAAGTTTTTGCCACTCCGCTGACTACATACATGTGATTTATTTAGAACATTTATGCTGCTAAAATATTAATAGTAGGAGAAACGACTAAGTATTAAGAAAATGCAATCTCAGTATTGATTACTATATACTGATTAAATATGCTATACTCATGCATGTCATTGATTTTCAAAATTTTGTTTGAACTTTAAAATGAACTTTTCTCCATTGTTTAAACTACGAGTAGCAAACACAAGTTGCAAACGTCGTCAAGAGACGGAACATGGTCGAGAAATATAAGTATGACTTAAAGGCACAAAACTTTTTCATAGCGTACAGAACCCGTAACTTGTTATTCGGCATTAAAATGTAATTTCGAACTATGGGTGTTTATATTTTGTATTAATTCAAAGAGCAGTTGTTAAAATTGTTTGTACTTTACGAATTTTCGGATGAAAGTAATAAAAATTTTTAACTTGGTGACCCAAGTCTCCAATCTAGGAAGCCCTTTTTTTGGTCCCCTCAATCTAACATTAGACAGCTCTAGCAAACATGACGCGACGTCGATGATAACGAGAAAATTGAGTGTCGTAGCGTGCTTGTATTTCCGGTTAAGTTTAGAACGGCGTTTATGTTGATTTGAGGACGTAAAAATAGGTGATTTGACGTTCTTCCCATGGTTTTATTGAATCACGTACATACTAAAAATTTTGCAAGTTGCAAGAGAAATTGCTCTCACACACAGTTAAACATAGCTTTATATTGGGTTTTAGCTTTTAAAGGATTCATGTTTCCTAATGAGAAATTCATACCTGTTTATTCCCATTTATTTAAATTGCCTTTTTTATTAACCTTAAATCGCCTGTTTTATACGTGCTCTAAGTTTTGTTGTGGGAATTTTGGTATCATTAGGTAACTGATAATTTTGACATTCTTCAACGTTGTTTCACTTTTATTGTTAATTATTTAATTTCTCTACTTTTAAGGTTACTATATTTTGCTACAAACAAACTATAACGAAAGAATTCAGTCTGGAAGTATCACTTTCAATTTGACTGCAAATGTAAGAAAGTCATGCTTAAGTTTTTGGTATCAAAGCTCTGGCAATACGAGTGCTCCAAATACTATTGGCGTTTATTTGATCTCAAATGAAAGAGTCATGCTCATGTGGAATGATACGCTAAAGCATGATTTATTTTGGAACAAAGCTCAGTCAATTGTTAATCTTACTCATGGAAATTATACAGTAAGTAGTGCAATAGAAAATTGATCAAATGCATAAGTCAAAAAAAATTCAAATTTCTTACGTACTGATAAAAGTTTCCATTACCAAATTATTTGTTAGATCCTTAATCTTTAAAAGTTAACATACTGTAATCATTTAAATACGTAATGATCCCTTTAGATCATTATAGCTAATGCACATAAATCATTGTTAGCAGATGGCAAAAAATAGCTTTGCCAAAATAGAAAAAAAACTATACAAGCTATAAGTTTGTAAATATCTAATAATATTTACAAAAAAAGTTTTCAGTTTCATAGCTATAAACAAAAAACAAAAATGACTGATACTGCTTGTCATCAGGTGCCACAAAAGTGTTACTTGTTTGATTCCTATTTACTGTTTGTAATTCGAAAAATTTTTCGTGCGATTAGATAGACGGATATTCAAATAGCTATATTTTTTGTTATACACTTGCATATTTCTTTTTCGGTAAAAAGAGTTTTAAAACGAAAGATTTCCATAATTTCGTAGAAGCATTATTGCTAATATGCATTTAATATAGACGACGAGTTTCATGAGAATAGACATGTTTCTACATCTCATGATGCCATCTTCAGTATAAATGAACAATTACATAAATACTACAAAGTTTATATAAAAGTATTATGATTTAGTGAAATAAATATATAAATATAGATAAATCATAACAATAATAAGGAAATTTAGATAAGTTAATGGGTAGCGTGTTACAAACAAATATTGTGTTGAATCTAAAAACTTGAACATTGAGGTCAGGGTCAGTTTTGGTATTGTGCAGTGCTTCTTTGATTTTAAGAGAGAATGTGGTGTCTGCAGCGTAAATGTTTTTAAAGCAAGAGGGTGAATAGTTGGTTTTACATGAGAGAGATTTAAGAAAGTGTCGGTAGATATGAGAGTTTTTTCTATTGTGGTATGTTCCTTGATTCTGGTGAATAAATGGCCCAACGTTTCGCCAATATATTGGGAATCACATTCCGTGCAAATGAATTCATATACCACCAAATGTTTAATGGAATCAGGGATTGGGTCTTTGAATGAGAAAAGGTTTTTGATTTTGAATGATGTGAAAACTACTCGAATGTAACTATCTGTACAGAAGCATTTCATAATGTTGGTAAGTGTGCGCTGTGTATGTCGTGGGTAATTTACCATATATGGTAGCTTAAATTATAGAGTTATTATTTTGGAATTTTTGTTTATGTCTCGTTGAAAGCCAATGTTTGTATTGTTAAGTTTGCATGCTCTGTCGATAAGTATGCGTATGAGTGCGGTTTTGTATGAAAGTGACGTGAAATCAAAATAGTTCGTCAGAAGTCCTGTGTATGTTGGTTTGTTATATGTAAACGTAGTACAGTTGTCATGGGCTTTTGTTAGTAAAATGTCAAGAAGTGGCAGTTGATCTTGTTGTTAAATTTCCAACGAAAATTGGAAATGTTTGCGTGCTGTATTTTAATGTAATTATAATACTTTATGTCCTCGTCAGAAAATTTTCAATCAAATAAAAATGCGTATGTGCTGTTGTTACTAAAACAGTTGTGTGAGGTCTGTCTTGTGTATATTTAACCTGGAGTTGTGAGTGAATATTGCGTCAGTTGCTAGGTTGATATTCTTCACCTCGTAGGAGATGAAGAATTTTTAAAAAGAAGTTTGATTAGTTGAAAGATGAGAGGTCGTCGAAGAAACTAAAAGAATCTTTTTTGTGGACTGGTCCTCTGGTATAAATGGTGTTAGTAGAGAACTATAATACTTAGCTAGATTATAATTGTATGCATTAATTGATGAAACTATGGGTCGTTATAAAGGTAATTTTTCTGGTTCTCATTTTTTGTGTTGCTTTTTCTAAACATTCAAAGTCCCAATCCCTGATTCACTTAAATCCATGGTGGTATATGAATTCAATTGCGCGGGATGTAATTCCCGATACACCGGCGAAACTTTGAGCCATTTATCCACCAGAATCAGGAAACATACCACAACAGACAAAAACTTTCATATTTACCGGCACCTTCTTAAATATCATTCATGTAAAACCAACTATTCACCCTCTTGCTTCAAAATAATTGACACTGCAGACACCTCGTTCTCCCTTAAGTTAAAAGAAGCACTCCATACTAACAATTAAAACTAATTAACCCTAACCTCGATGTTCCCGTTTTTTGATTTAACACAATATTTGGTTTGTAACATGCTTCCAATAATTTATGTCATTTCCTTATCATTGTTAAAATTTATCCATATTTATACATTTATGTCACTGTACATATCACTTTTATATAAACCTTGTATTATTTAGGTAATTATTCATTTATACTGAAGATGGCATCATGCGATGTCGAAACACGTTTATTCTTAAAAAACTCGTCGTCTTTATGCGCATTTTAGGGTGTTTTAATAAAAATTTTCCTTGTTTTATAGATAGTCTTAAAAGTACTCGTCGAGTCATACCCAGGTTATGTTGCCTTAGATGATATTTCAGTTGTTCTTGGAGAATGTGTCAAACAAGGTAGTTTTTTTGAAGGTTTTTTGATTGTCTTAAGTTACTGTTTCCGTTGTGACTAAGTTCTTAAAAAATGTACAGTAAAGACAGTTCTCTTGTCATTTCTGAACCGATAAGGCAATTTTATTTATAAGATTCCCGCCAACATTTGAAAATCACTACTTTTCAAATAAATCCCATTTTAAAATAACACTTATAACCAAAACATTTAAGTGAACAAACTCGACTTGTGACAGACTTTGTAGCATCAACACAATTAATAAACTATATAAGATGCGAGAGGTGATAAAGTACATGAGAAAGTATAACCACTTATTGACAAGTGCAATTCGCAAACTATTCTAGAAAACAGTTGCTGCTTACAGAACTTGTAACACTAACTCTTAGCTATGTCCAGTGGCAAAGCTTGCCCGATCTTCTAAACCTAAAATTCAGATTTTCTCAAAATTATTATTCATAGCTTTAGAGAAAACTATTCCATTAACTGTTTTTCTTTAAATTTTTGTAAATGTAGAACGTCTAGTTCAGTATAGATTTCTGTTCTGAGAACTCAAATTGACTTTGAAGATAACTACCACTAAGGTTGTGGAAAAGTCAATCAACATCAACACTTACAGTCCTTCTTATAACTCTATACTAACCTACACAATGACGATCTACATTTAAAAACAAGCAACGATACTCTCGGGCTCAAGCTATTTGTACTTTAACTGTTTTTCCTTACAGAGATTGAGCACAAAAAAGATTCTTGTTTTAAGAGTAAAAAACGGGCTTGCTTTGTTTTAAAGATAACTCCAAACCTTACCTCTAGTCATAAACCTTTAGATTGTCCCTAACTCTAATACATCTCCAACAATTTAGCAAAGCCATTTTTGATAAGCATTGGAATAATATTATTTTTATTTATTGTTATCTCCTAAAAATTTAAATATTTTTCCTATTATCAATATGCTCTTAGTCTCTATACTTTAATATGTCTATCCTTGGGATATCAGTTTCTCTTTTAGTTATTCTAGATTTGAACTTTCCTGGATAAGTGACTCATGAACAGTGCCAATTTACTTTGAACAGATGTTTATGCTTTAGATAAGATTTGAGAGACGAAAAGTTTTGCGAAATTGCTTGGAAGACATATTAGCACTTATTCCATAAAGAAGACTATGACATAAATCATTCACAATTTTATTTTTTCCTTTTTCAACTTCTTAGTCAATTTTCAAATAAACTGTTGATACCGACACTATTATAAATGTAGGCTATGATGCCGGCTAGAAGAAAATTTACATTAATAAAATTTTACCTCTCAAGTAATTCGATTTTAAGGTTTTAATTACTTCTGATAAAAAAACTTTTCCAAATACCACTTTATTTATGACTAAATTACTGTAACGAACCACTTTTTTTAACAAATTTTTAGAAAAATCACGTCATGTAGCAGCGAACAGAAATGTAACACAAAAACAAAATGTTTTACCTTTCAAACCCGATGAACTACTGACTTTTGACCTTAAAATGCTCATTGTTAGCTTTGATTGTTGCTGAAACACCTATTTTAAATACTCATCAGTAATTTTTGGCTTTAAATGGAGGAAGATTTATCTTAATTGGTCGATTAATTAAAGCTTTGTCTTGTATAATAGGATATTAATATCATTAGGTGTACAATGCAGTTAATATTGGTATACATCCACGTGAACAACAATGAGCTAGTTTTCTCTAAAGATAAACAGTTAGTTATTTTGAAAAATACTATGTATGAATTTTCTGTCAAAGTCTAAAATATTTACTTGGATGTAAAACAACTGACGGCATGACGTCCTTAAAATTGCACTGACCCATTTTTCTTCAACTCACTTGATATTTAACATTATACTTCAAGAGAAGTAAACCAAATCAATAAAATGACAGAGCATCCTAGTTTTTGTATTACCGACTAAGTTTTATTACAAATTTATTGACAGAGTAAAATGTTTGTTGACTAACTTTAATAGAAATCTGATGAAAATTTGACAGGTATTTCTTCTCAAATGAGCTCCTGTGGCAAGCGCAAGGTACTCCCTGGATCTCAGTCTCCACAGTCTCTCATTGTAGGAGGAACAGAGGCTAGACCAAACTCTTGGCCATGGATAGTTAGTTTGACTCGAGGAGGCTCTATTCATTGTGCAGGATCAATTATTGACAAATATTGGATTTTGACAGCAGCTCATTGTCTTGTACAGTCAACAATACCTGCAACTTTTTTCACCGGAATTACAATAAATGTTGCAGATCATAGAACAGATACAACCAGTGTTTATGAATACTCTTTGACGTCAGTGGCCATGTATATTCATCCTAACTATTACGTAAACGGACCTGTATATTTTGCGGACTATGACGTTGCTTTGATGAAACTCCCGACACCTTTGAACTTTACCGAACGTGTGCAGCCTGTCTGTCTTCCAAGTCAAGATGATATTTTTAACGGAAATGATACATGTTTTGTGATTGGCTGGGGACGTACTGCATCTGGCTTCACTTCTCCATATTTACAACAGGTGAAACTTGATGTTATTAGTCTTCAAGAATGCAATAGTTTTAGCTTTTTTAACGGGAGAGTCTCACCAAGGTCAGTCTGTGGTGGTCGTAGATCAGGTGGAGTCAGTGCTTGTAATGGTGATAGTGGTGGTCCCTATCAATGTAAACGCAATAATACTTGGATACAATTAGGGATAGTCTCTTGGGGACGCTCTTGTGTGCAAGCTAGATATTACAGCGTGTTTATGGATGTCAGAAAATTCTTGGAGCCATTTATTGAAACAATTCAAAGAGGTAAAAAAACTTTATTTTTTCATTAATTTTATTCAAAAGGTCAGTTTTTTCTCTACAATCAGCAGTAACGAAATATGATGGATTTTAATGTAGACAACAACTGAACTTATCGCTAATACGATGGAAAGAATTTTAACAGCTCTAAATTCTTTATTAATGTAATGCAAATTTCAGTAAAAGATGTAAGCACAGAGTAGATTATTGCATAATTATCAGCAACACTTCAAGTGATATCACTGATATGCAGAAAAGTATTCTACAAATTGCTTTAGTGTCAAAGACTGCTTACATTTTGCTAATATTTCAAAGTTTAAGGAAAGATAGACAGAGCTTCTACACAAGCTGTTGAATTTCAGCCAAAAAAATTTTTTCTGTTTTGATTTCGTTTGTTATTAATTAGTTAACACTAGTTTACGCTCATTGTACTAGTAAGAAACAGGCCTGGTTTGCCACTGAGTTTAAATAGTAAGAAGAAATTTAAATAATATAATGTTAATTATTCAAGTAATAATTAATTTGAAATGTAAATTCAATAAATGAGGTAATGTAATTAGCAAGATTTTCTCTTGTAGGTCAGAACACTAATGTAACCATGTACTACTCAAGAGCAATTGGAGTTGTGTTTCAAAACTTATCAGAACTATATTCCTCGAATCTTTCGGTTATTTTAACGAATAATGGAGAATTTTCTGATATCGATATGGTTGGATATTTTCGAGCACTTCCTTATCAGATTGAGCTTGTGAAGCAAACAACCTTAATTGATCTTATTACTGTTTCCGGACAGCAAAATTTAACTTCAAATACGACGACAATACAACATATTGCTTCTGTTCTTGTCCGGTATATAAGTAACCTGTATGCTGATTTCAAATGTGGAAGATCGGGCAGACGTACTTGTAAGTATACACATGTTAAATGATGCTTTTAAAATACTAATACGACATAATTTTTTATTAATACTTATATAATTGCATTATTTTTTACCATTCGCCAACACTAATTTTTCTAGCATAAACCAGTTATATACATGTTCAACAAACGTTAGCATTAGTTTAATTATAGTATTTGTTAGTTATTTGTTATTACTTCACAGGAAGTTATCTTATTATGCACAAGCTGATTGAGCGCTTAGGTATTACGATGCCGGTGTTTTTTTGTAAATGCCGGATATGAATGATAAAGATAATTAAAATTGGGATTTAGTTTAATGAAAAAAAGTTTACTCGTCGTGAACGGGAAAGGAAAAGATAAGTTAAAATCATAAATTATTGCAGCAAGCCTTCAAAACATTAATGACATCTTTAAATGATCCGCATTTGTTGTGATGGAGCAAGCGAATGTTTACTCCTTGCTTAAATTAGAATACAACCACTGCTAAGACTGTCGAAACGTTAGTCAACATCAGCACCAACAATCTTCTCAGGACTCTAATAACCTGAATGATATATTTCTACTAACATATAAGGACGTTTCCTGGTTCAAACAATTAACTTTATACACACCTTGCTCATATTAACTTCTTAATTAAAAACAGAATTAATTGACGTATAAAGAGTTTCCTCTAACGCGTTTATCGTTTGTTTTCCAGTTACACCTGATTCCAATAGTACGATTGATGGAGCTGGTAAGAATTTTACTTTTGAATTTTTTAAGATTTGTGTTTTTAATAAATAATAGCCTAAAGTTTCTTTGTTAAAATTAAAAATAGAATGATATTCGTATGAACATCAATAAAAAGTGCTCCTTTTTTTTTATGCAAGCGTGTTTGTTCATTGGGAGCGATAGCAAAGTCGGTAAAATGCACATTCCTTCTTGTCAACATATAAATCTTTTAATAAAATTTGGAAAGTACAATAATCAAAAATCGTATTTCTTTAACTTGGAACCCATTTATTAAATATCCAAGTTTGAACATTTTTTGCTTTGTTTATAAACTGTTCTTCTTGTAATAATTATAGGGATTCTGAAACATACAATTCATTAAATTGATAAATTCTAAAAGAGGAGTATGAAAAAGATACTTTCCATTTGAATAGGTAGTTGTTCCTTTGAAAATGGCATTAACAATTCCAGATGCACATGGAAGAATGTTAATTATCCACTTGACAACTTTGATTGGACCATCCATTCAGGCTCAACACTAAGTTCGAGCACTGGACCTAACTCAGACAGAAGAGGATCGATTTGTGGTAAGTCTTTTATTAAAATACATGTTTTAATGGTTATCCTTAAATAAAACGCTGGAATTAAATAAAAGACTCTAAAGTGACGAAAGCACCTAATTTTTTTTGAATTATATAAAAAACTTAGTTGCAATTCCATGTAAAATGCCATCTCAGTTGACATAGCTTTCCAAAATTTTATTCAATTTTCGCAAATATTTTAAAAAGAGTATAAATAATGTTATTATTGACAAAATTGAGTGCAGCCGGGGAAGTATTTTAGCCTAAATTAGCGATATTACTTTAAAGTGGGAAACTCCGACAATAAATAGATTACATACAAAGTAGCAAGCATTAAGTAACTATTCCTATTAGTTTACCTAACACAATTAAATCTACATACACTTTTTCATAAGTTAAGAATGATCATGGAACCAAGACTGAGAAACCGTACACTATGAAAGTTTCCTAACAATCGCCGCTTTTCTTCTCAGATGGTTTTAATAGATTCTATTTTTTTTCTATATCTATTAAAACAAGTAATTAAGACAAGTTGAGCTTCCCTCCAATAAATAAGATGAGAATTTATGGTCTACTGTGCTTTAAGAGAAGAAGATTTTCTTTTAGATAAACACAGATTCTATATAATCACATAACGATGCATGATGCATATAAGGCAAAAGACATCTATTTATGCAGAAAACATTAGTACTCTTATACAGTGTAAAGGATTACCAACAACATGCCATTGAGAAGATTAGCAAACCTTCTCAAGGGTTAGGAACCAATGGTGGCGCAAAAAGTCAAGCATTATTTTTCACATTTGTGTATTTCTAGCTGGCAAGCAGTGTTGTTATTCAATGCATGAAGCATCACTTTTGCTGTTTATAACAAATAATTTTACGATCGACAGTGTACATTGCCGATTTTTTGTTACTTTGCTAAAACGTTTTTAATGCAATATTTCAATTAATGAAGCCTATTATAAAAACACTGTTTTTTAAAAATATATATATTATGTTAATTTTGAATAATACAAAATATTAAGAGGTAGCTAAGAGATAGTAAAAAACGAGTACGCTTGGATGAAAATGAATTTTTATTTAATTATGTACAAAAGAAAAACCACTTACACTTCACGACGAAGATAAACGAAAAATTATTTAAAAAACGGGGATTAGAAGATACATCAACTACAGAGCATCCATGCTTGAATATCGATGAGTATGGAAAGTACGAACTAAGCACGTAAACATTATATTTGACATCGTTTCCACATCCAGCCGGACATTACCCTCTTTCGACAAATTTATCCAAAGCTCTTAAATTTGATATGTTACTCATTTGTTGATCCAATGAAAACCTCTTTGGAAACGTACATATGCATTGATCAAAGATATTAGCAGCAATATGGCGACATAAGCGGCGAAGAACGACAAACGAACAATGTGGTTTATTTTTATAAAAATACGAATGTTAGTAAAGACCATCTGCTTTAATTTTTTGCACAAAATGTCAATGAGTATTTTACAACATTTTGCAATCAGATGGACATAACAGTTCTAAATTCAATTTTGACAAAAATCAAGCTATTAGGTAGCCCGAAAGTGCCAATAATAGAAATCAAAAAATGAAGTATCACAAGTGGTTTAACTTAGATCCTAGTCGAGTGGCAAATAATTCATAAACTAGTTGAAACAGTAATTTTAGAAGAAAGTACAGCGCACTGAAAAGTTAGCCAACTAAAACGTGATATCTGGTGTACCATCAAGAATGCGCTCCAAGACGTCTTACAGAGATATCTACAAAATTTCGAGAGACTAAGTATGTTCCACGAATTTAAACTCTATGTTGGTTATAACGCTTAATATGTCGCTTTCCCAGTAAGATCAGTGCCATGTAGTTTGAAAGAAAGTGCTGGAATACGATCGAAAAGATGACAGCCTAAGAGTTTGCCCAACAGTTTCAAGTGTTAAACATCGCAATGATATGTAGAGAAAAACATAAATTTTTATTCCTGTTTGGTTATTATAACTACTTACAAGCAAATAAACTACACGAAATACCAACAAAAATGATTGCCTCCTGTCAGCTTCTGAATGGAAACAGTATTTTACAAAAGATCCATATTGTAATTTATTGTAATTAGAAATTACATCATTATGCAGGTGAAAAAAATTCTTTGCATAAATTTGAAAGAAAAATTGAAATGAAACAATAATAATGATATTTATTGAAGAGAGATTACGAAATTCGTAGCTCTGGTGAGATTATTTAGACAGTTTGATGCACAAGACGTGCCAATTAATATGTACGAATATTTTGTTTGCTATTTATATCATTAAATGTATGGTTCGGTGAGTAATCTTGCGTGCATTGAAAAGCATTTAAAATGCAAAAAAGAGTTTCTCCCGTCATTATACTTGATCTAATTATGAGGTAAAGCAAAGAATTTGTGTAAAGCATCAGTTTGTAGCCAATGAAACAAATCTGAACAAACGCAACAATTAAGGCAATGAATATCTTTCATGATGTATTATAGATATGCTCAGAGGATATATCACAGATATATTCAGAAATAATTTATCTACTGAAACATATATACCTAAAAGTAATGATAGCAAAGCTTTTGGTTGGTAAAATAAATACTGAATTTATGCAAATATCTCTCTCGTACTAAGGATATTTCACATGGAATAGTCTTCCAACAATATTATCACATCGCTTTAATTAAAAAAATTTGATTAGTTTTTTTATATAATGCAGTCGCAGTCGCACCCATGTCTTTTCATTTACTGTTTCCAGAAGTACAAAAACAACTGGTGAAATGATCACTTCTTTACTATCCTACATATTTTTACGTCTCTAATAGAAATCCAGCTGATTTTGTCATTGGCATTTTACAAACAGTCTTTGTATCCCTTAATACCCAAATTAAACAAAATGTCAAATAAGTGATATTTGTGTAAGATCAGTATAGATATTGAGAAAATCACCATATACCCAATTTGGCCAAGTATCAATTTTGCATATATCAGCAAATATTCTTGACAGAGATTGAGTTTTTTATTTTTAAAGAAAAAATCACGCGAAACAAAAAAGGAATTTTAATTAACTCAAATCTTGAATTATTTAAAAGTGGTTGACATTGATTATGGAATTTGCACATATGCCATATTGTTTGTTATGGTTATTTTACCCAAAAAAAATTAGGAAAATACCCAGTAAACTAAATGCGTACAGATCCTAATGCAGCCCTATGACTAAAACATAATTCGAAAATATTTGTAAATTCAAAAAACGAGAGTGTTATTAAAAAAAACAAAACAAAATTTCTTGACTTCCTTAAAAATGTCTTTTAGGAAAATACATTTACATTGAAACATCAAGTCCCCGTGTGCTGGGTGATAAAGCATGGTTGGTTAGCAACTACTTTAATACAACAACCAAATGTTTTACATTTTGGTATCATATGTATGGATCAACAATTGGTTCTCTTAATATATACCAACAAAATATGGGAGGTAGACTAAAGCTGTTGTGGACATTAAGTGGCAATCGAGGAAATCAATGGAACAGAGCTCAAATTACAACCAACTTTACCGAAGCAAAAACAAGGGTGAGTATAAATATCAATGTTCTCAAACTCTGCATATCAGAGTACAAAAATGCTTAGTTTCAACATTGTAAGCTTATTTAGATTGCTAAAAGGGTTGGGCGGGAGATGAGAAGATAAAATGTTCCAAGAAAAATTTTCAATTGTTTGTTCATAGCTCATAAGTAATTTTAACTTCTTCCTTAACTCTTCAACAAGGTAAATGTTTGGCTGTAGACTTTCCTTAGAAAATCATTTTCCTATCCCTTTTAAAATTTTTTTATCTTGTAACGTCTTTTAAATTTGGATGCTGTTGTAGAATTATAAAGGAGGATTAATGTCTTAAAACTTATATCCGTGTTACAAATGTTACAAACTTATATCCCTGTAAGCCACGTGTCTCCAGACCAAAATTTTGTTCTCAAACGTAACATTGCAAATCAACTTTATGGCTGCCTTTAGCAGTCTCAAAAACATCGTTCTTACTTTTTTTCATATAGTTTTCTACTCACTTTCTATTGAAAGATCAAGCAATCTATATTAGCAACTAAACTTGATGTTGCATGTTTTCACTCACCTATGACTCCAAGACTCAGCGCACATATGAACTGTAATTGCTCATTTGGCAATCAAAAGTGAAAAAAGCGCATGTATCTAACATTAAATTTCTAAAGTGCATAATCGTTTTTGAGTAAACTTTAATGAGTAAACATACTAACTTGTAAAAGTTTGAATATGTAATAAAGTAAACAATGTCTATCTGAATCACTAAACAGCGTATTTTCTTGCTAAAAACTTGGTAAAAATTTTCTTATAAGCTGTTTTTTATAGATCATCGTTGAAGGTGTTCGTGGCTCTAGCTTTACGGGTGATATTGCTCTAGATGATTTTGTGTTTTTTAATGGTTCTTGTGATATCCATCCCACGTATGCTGAACCACGCTTTATTAGTAAGTTATTTTATATAATGACGAGTGTTGCTGGCTTTTCTACGAAATTACTTTATTTTTAAGATGTATTTCTCGTATTTTCTATGCAGAAAAATCAGCTGCAATGGTTTTGTTTTGACGTATAAATAACGTTTTTAGTAAATTTTGATCGTTGTTAACCAGACAAATTATCCCTAAACAACCAATAAAAATTAACGCAAATCTCAACAAAAGAACGGTTTTAGAAAAAAAGCTTTGATTTGTACGTGAAACATTGTTTTTTAAAAGAGTTAAAAGATTTAATGAACCTAGTTTTGTCTTTTTTCGCTGTAGGAGTTGCTACGAGCATTGTAACATTGTAACCATGTAACATTCTTGAACACAGATCTTAAGAATTCCCTATAGTTATCAAATTTATTAACTTTTAAATCAAAAAACTTATTTTTATCAACAATGGTATTAGATAGTTGTATAGATATGTCACATGTTCCTTTTACTTTTAAACGATTTTCCATAAAATTTTAATTTTTTAGATACTACAGCAACCATTTTCCCAACTCCCACGATTTCTTATGGTAAGTATGTATAAAAATTTAAAAGAGTTTATTTGTTGCTCTCTACAACTCGTGTTTTAAATGAAGAACATTAAACACGTAATTTTATCACTTACCCATACCTTACCCTCATGCAATCATCTATTATGGCACGAGTTTCTTATTTGTGAATCTTTTATCATGATTTTAAATCCATTAACTTTTGTTGTTAAAAACAAAAGAATTGTTTCAATTTTGTTATACAAAGTACTTAGTAGTTTTGTTTAAAGTACATGCAGAACTGGCAATATAATGACAATTGAGAAACAATATATATGTACTCTTTGTTTTACAGCCACACCTACCTCAACAACCACAATTGGTGCAAATGGTAAGGGTCGTACTTTTGTATTTGTTTATATTAAACTTTTTATTAATAATTGTAATAATAATTCAAGTGTGTGTATGTTACTTAAAGCTGTGGTCATTTTTTAAAAAATTCAATTTAGTTATTACTTTAAAAACAAATCCTTTGAAATTTATATTTTTGAAATTTATCTGATGACGAATATTGAATCGTTTCAATTTGCCTAAATTATTCAACGCTTGGCTGAATCCCGGCTACCCGGGCTTATATAATCAGCCCCCAATACAATTTAAACATATAATCATTGTGGATTTATATGATTTTTAAGTCCGATGTACTGCGCTCTTGGTTTTATGTGTTTTGGTGTGCTAAAATGAAATACGTCAAGATTAAATTTCTAAAGTTTCATACATTATTCAGTAGAACAAGTTTAAAGTACGTCCATTTTTTTGTTCTTTAAGATTACTATTTTATCAAATGATAGTACCAATTAGTTCCACAGTTTTATAGTTAAAACATCTGAGTAATTTGTGAAATTTGTTGTGTTTAGTATATAGTGTTAATTATAGAGTTATAGTTGTATATTTTAATTTCATTTTTTAAAAACAGCATAGATACGCATTGGTAATAATAGTCATACTCAGTGACTGTGAGTGTGATTAATAGTAACAAGATTGCGTGTGTTTGACTGGACAAAAATGCAGAAAATAAATCCAAAATTGTAATGTGCTTTTATGTCAGTATTTAGCTATTATTTTTTATTTAAATATTAATAGTATTTTTTTATACAACACATGAAAGCTTTGATAAATGTCTGTTATTTTTAATATGGCCAACCACAAGAATAATCAATGTTCCATTTTTATGAAAAATTATTTTAATTAAGACAAGAATCAGAGTTTGCAGCTATGTGTGCATTAATTTTAGAAACTATATAACTATTTTGTCTTAAGGACCGATTTTATTTGACGATTGTGTCGAAGCTCATGAAAAATCTTGTTCAAGGTAAAAATTTTTAAATATAGAAAATTTAAGTATATATCATCTAGTTTAATTTTTGTTGCTGTTAAATTACGTTTACATCTACGCACTGCATTTCTATTTTATATTGTCATTTGCACATAGTATTTATTATCTTTTTTACTTAGTTTTGTTCATTTGAAGAATTACTTTTAAAATTACTTTACTAGCGATGAAAAAAAATATTATCTGAAATCACGAAACGATTTGGGTTATGCTGAAACGGAATGTCATATAGGTGGTAGCCTAAACCTTGGATGTACTGGTATCGGATGGACATTTCTTGGAAACATAAGTGGAAGCTCCTCATCAGTAAGTCATGATACACTTTTATAGATTATGTTTTTTACATCAAGTATAATCCTCTTTTAAGCACGACTAAATTCATTATGTTTTTCTCGTTGTCATTGTTTTTTGATTACATACTTAAGCATAAGTTTAAATTGCTTCTAACTCCTAACTGTAGCTTTATTTAAATATTTCGCCTTTTAACGTATTGTGTTGTATATTCCACTTAAGTATTATACTGATAAAATAATCTTCTATGATAGCAAAAAGTTACTGCAACATCAAGTCTCAAAAAAAATATTATCATGATCCCGTAAGGTGGGAATATAGCTTTATTTTATGCTTTATAGAGCTCAACAAACTACGAATCGAGAATTTGGCAGTCAAAAGAAGACGAACAAACAAACTTTAATTCTCAATTTTGGAGTGCCAGTGTCTCCACTATTTGTCTGCAGACATATTACGGCTTTATGCAAATTTCAGTTTCAGCACCATCTGCTCGTAGTTTATTTTTCGGTCAAAAACTCTTGAATATTTCAGCATCATATTTTTTAAATTCTTTTACAAAACTATGGATTCACACACAGCTGCCAAATTTTTCATCGGGATGTTACGAAAGTGGATTCAACATTGGAGATGTAAATTTCATTCAGGCTCGTTTTGGTATTGTTTCTGTTAACAGACCAGGTAACAAAACTTTTAAAAAAGGATTGTTTGACAATTTCCATCTACATTTAAAGGTTTTAAAATAAAAATATTTTGTTAATACTGCCTCCCCTTTGAGTTTATTGGTACTCAACACAAATTTAGGCGGATAAGTTGCAAGAATAATTGAAATTAATTTTAAAAGATCAGTCTTCACTTCTAAAGTAACTGCAAATTTGTGTTTTCTCTGTTTTAGGATGTAATAATACTGTTGCTCAAGCCATTGGTGTAGGAATAAAAATACCTGGGAGGAAGAATATCAGTGTTAACGGTGTGGTTACCAATGTAATGTCACTTAATTTTGCTTCCTACCTAGACTTTAGCTTTTATGTTCGTTCCCGTCCTCCTAGAACTTAGTTTTTAATTCTTAGTTTTAATCTGCTATTATGCCGCCTGCACTTACTTATGTGATTCCAATATAGCTAATTTAGTCTATTGCCTATGATAAATTTTTTGTAAGTTAGATTTATAAGCACAACACCACTTGTTCATTTTAAAATATGTTAGACTTATTATCTACAACAAAATCCACTAAAGTAAAAAAAAGAACTGAAATGAAGCGTATCGTAGTAAATGAATATTGTTCTAGCTAATTTAGAAATAATATAATATGATGGATCTACGTAAAAATAATGGTTATGCCTTAATAAACATAGTCATCACAAATAATATTGTGCTTATGGTATGATTTTCGACCGTGTAAAAGAGTGGCATAAAACTATAGGCATGATATAATAAAGAGGAACAAGAGAGCGAAAGATCTATAGAGTGTTTGCACGCACGTCACCACTACGTCAAAAATTTGACTGACATACGACATTGCTTATTGCTGTATCGAAGCAAAATTAATCATAAAAGTCATAGTTACTAAATAGAATAATGTAGTTCTGTTCTGCAAAACAGCAGTTGATTGAGGGTTGTGCAAAATAGTTTACAATAAATCAGTAACATCTTGGCTAAAATTATTATAGATTTTTAAACAGCAATAGCATTATATAATGATATTTTGAGTTCTGTTTTTATAACTCAGCAAATTTAAATTGTTGTCTTATCCTGTATTCAATAGAACTTCCAGAATTAATGCATAAAATCTGCCAGTATACAAGCAAGGTTTACTCAAAGTTCAATAACAGCAAATTAAAGTAGCAATTGACTTGCCGTAGGACACATTCTCATGCCTTCAAGTCGCTTTAATCAATAAAGATAGTTGTAGTAACTTGGGCACAATACATTCACAGCCCGAACTCCAACTGACGAATATCGACTTGTGCTGTGTTATTTTTGTTTGAAATTGCCGTATAAGAATAGCAAAATTAGCTCACATGTGAATTTTTACTTCTTCATGTATATACATTCTCTAAAACTGTGCAATTCCTGAAATAAAACATTGTTTCGAAGATTACCAAATTTTTTTCGTAAGAAAAATACAAACACCCCTTTTACTATTTTGAAAATTTTCGCTATCCAATGGATAATGCTATCCAGGCTTCGTGCAACCGCCCCCTGAATTCCAATGACGTATTTATTAGGAGTGCAATTGATTCACGCTCCAGTCGCTGACTCAAGCGCCGATCAGATATTGCACATTGCGCACGTAAAGAAATAGTCAAAAAGCAGTGGTTTGCTCAATTTTGATTAATATAAGGCGTATAAGAAGCTCTCTGGTTGCTCAATAAATATTTTGACTAGCGGTTGCGGGCTTTTTGACTAATGTGGAGTAAAATTTCGTAAAGTTCAAAACATAGAGGAAGTTTTGTGATAGGTTCCTTGATAGAGAAGTTTAAAAAACGGAGTCGCTGATTTGTTGTATGAAAACACTCACAACGCCTCTGCCATTCGCCCTCACACGATGGTGCATAGTGTATGTGCTGTGTTTTGCTTGGTGAAAATTATACATCCAAAGCTGGAAGGATTTTTAAATTAGTTACTGAGCCACTTGTGCAATGGAATAATGCCATGTACACCTTTCAAAAATATGAAGGCAGAGGTACTGGGGGAGGGAGGAATTGATTTACATGCTTCTACCATTAACATCAACTGAAACTCAACAAGAATGCCTGAGCCCTAAGGCGTCAAAAGGGTATAATGGTGGCAATTATGAGCCTATGAGATACTTTGTAAAAATGGCCTAGTTTGTTTATTGTTGAAATCATCGTTTCTTTCAAAAAATAAACTTATCTACGAAGAACATCAGGTGACTTTTAGTCAATTTCGGTGCCTTTTTTGAAGCTTAAGTGTCCAGGTTAGTATAATGCCAGATTGCCAATTAACCTTTTACATAAAACTGTCCATGTCCAGAATAACAATATGTGTTTTTTAGGCATGCTGATGAGCCCTGACACTGAGCGAAAAAGCCATTATGTAAGTATTGTTCAAAATATCACTAAAAAATGCTACGAAAATGTTATTTTTGCCCACGAATGATGCGTAAAAAATATGATTAGCACTCGCTCTAAAATGCTGGAGATGGCATATCCGAGACACTAGAAATAAAAATTTTCCTGAGAAGCATGATCCTGGACCGCCATAGGTGGCAAACGCCTCCGCCTTTTTTTTGGCTCAAATTTAAAAAATCCTTCATCCACCAACACACCCCTGATTGTATACAGCGACCACAACCCATTGGTATTTCAGCATAAATTACGTCAAAAGAATCAACGACTCTTACGCTGGAGTCTTATACTGTAGTAGTACAACATAGAAATCCGTCACATCAAGGGACGTGACAACCTCATTGCAGATTGTCTTTCACGACCGTAGGACATTATTACATTGCGACTTTAAAAGAAAGCCCTTGTGGGCTTTCTTTTTCTCCAAGAGGGAGGGTGTTACATGATAGCAACTACTATCATGTAATATCGTTATTATATCATATTATAATTTCATATATAATTAATTAGAACGTTATCTAGAAGCTTGCTTGCATGCGCTAGAAGCTTGCTTACATGCGTAAACACTTTAGAACCGCAAACGCATTTGTTGTTATTGTGGTTAACTATATCTTGCTGTAACATACTGTATTGCGTATGGGATGTAGGTCACAAAACCACAATACTTCCCGTTAGATATTATATATATATCAGTAGTTTAGACCACTGAGTACAACCTACGAGGACAACGTACGAGCACAAGCTACGAGAAGACAAACTTGGGAGGCATAGCCTACCGAAGTAGGTTGACAAGCTACAATCTACCAGACAACTATCTTGGCTTCTGTGCCATAACTATCTTTTGGCTTCTGTGCTTTAATCTATTGGAAAACTATTGTGAGTCATTGTTGGACTCACGAACGCTCAAGAATAAAGACTCGCGGTTGTACTCAGACAGAGGAGATACGTTTTACTCATACTTATTGATATTATTATCAAGACACTTATCTACTTTTTATATTTACGCGTTAATTAATAAATTGTTTGAGAAATATAACTGGTTCACACTATCTTTGTTGCGTGTGGAAATAGAACCAAAATTAATAGTTATTCTTTCGGGACCACGCACGTAACACCACCATTGTGCTTTTGGTGAATCTCCCAAATCATCTCTGGCTTGTTCTCCGTCCATTGGTCGTCGACGACGAGGTCGTGTAGACCTCCATTCTCGACATCTAACGCAAAAGAATCGGTCATTTCAATGATTTTTTCTGGTTTGTCACGTATGATTTGAAATCTAGAAATTGAGCTATCAACCATATCCATTGCTTTTCCAAACTCAGCATTTACGCTCTGTAGATATCGACTTAAAGGTCCAGTAATTCCAAAAATTTCTTGGAAAAGACAGGCAGTCGCAACAAATTGCTTTGTCTGAAAAGCTGCTTGCAATCCATTTGCTGTTGCTCGCTGACTTTCAGTGAACGATATTTCCTCAGCTACTTTTTGGAGCACTCGCATGATGCACTCGAACCTCAAAAGAAATACGTTTAGACAAAATTCTCTTGCATTCCATCGAACTGTATTAAGACGTTTAATCGAAAAAAGTTTGAGGTTTTCATTCTTTTGAACCAATTGAAACAATTCGTGTACTTTATGAGAATTATTAAAGAGAACGTGCAGTTTTTCGAGAGAGTCAAAAAGAGTAATGACATCAATAGCAACACAAGCTGAATCGGATAAGACGAGATTTAGCGTATGCGCATAGCAGTGAACAAAGATGATGTGGTTTCCTATTTTCTCTTTTATAATTGCCTGCAAACCATTATAACATCCGCTCATAGTGGATGCTCCGTCATAAGTTTGGGCAACAAGTTTTTCAAATGAAACTCCATGCAATTGTAATATTGTTGTAATAGCAGTGTATAGGTCATGTGCAGTTGTTCCAATTGCTTTTTGGCATGACAAAACGTGTTCAGAACACTCGCCAGTTTCATTAACAAGCCTTACGCATATACTCAATTGTTCTGTATGAGTTATATCGGGTGTCGTATGAGCAATCAATGCCCATGCTTTGCAGTTGCGTATTTTTTGTACAATTACAGAAGATATTTCTTTACCAATGATATTGATTAACTTATTTTGAATATCGTTGCTCAAAAACCTTAGCCATGAGCCACGTCCTTTGATTCCTTTTTCATCATGGTTTTACCATGATGGTTTTACAACCATCCTTGTCGATTGCTTTACTTGGTGATCACGAACTTTCTCAACATGCTCATTGATTGGTTGATCGTACTCTGACAATAATTTAAGCGTTTCCAAAAACTTTCCTGTATTAACATAGAAATTTGTCAGTGATTCACAGTGACCCCTAAAGGAAAGACCTTGTCTTCCAAGAAACATAATAACATATATCACACGTTTCAAAAGTGTTTTATTTAAAACAACTTCCTTTTTACTTCTTTCAGACTCGATTCTCCCCTTGTTTTCAACTTTATGTTTTTTCATCCACGTAGAAAAATCTTCCTTTATCTTGCAACATAAAACTGTTTTTTTGGGATTTGAGTTAGACTCGACAACTATGAAAATACAATCCAGTTCGGAAAATTTTTCCAAAATCACTTCTCGAATTAGAGCTCCTTTAAACTCAAAATTCACCATACGCGAGTTTGCTCATTGATCTGTTTGCATCTTGCTTAAATCGTCAATTTGGTCGCTACATTTCTTATAGACCAGACCCTTACTCACATGCTATTCATCCACAAGATAATAGAAGAAAAGGCCAGGGGAGTTTTAATTTTTTCTGGACTGGCCAACTCGGTCTTGGTACCCATTGTTGGTACAAATATAAGAGAAACCGCCTCGACGTCTACCACCGAAAACCGACTTACTGATTCTTTCCTTTCAACCCAATCTCAAACACTCATAACACAAAGAAACTGAACATTCTTATCTTGTTCCCAGGGCAAACTACAAGTAGAAAGGTTTTCTTTGGAGACAGTAAACATTATTCTAAACTTATGGCGTGATGGCGCAAGAACGCAATACCAGTCAACAGCTAAAAAATGGTTTGAATTTTGTCGTACAAATGATTGCTATATCGTATCCCCCCCTTTGCCCATGGCTGTCACTTTTCTATCAAACTTATATAAGTCAGGACTATATAAGTCAGGACTATCATATAGTTCAATGAATACGGCAAGAAGTGCTTTATCTTCAATCCTCACATGGGAGGGTAACAATACGCCATGCAGACAGTGGCTATATGTCAAAGGATTTATGAAAGGTATACACGAAACT